CAATGGAAACGTATTATCTTAGCTGATCCACGACAGGTATAACAAATTATTAATTCAAATTATTTTTTTTTTTTTTTTTTTAAATTAAAATCAGTTCAAATTGTTTTTTTTCTAATCAAAAAATTATTTTATTATATTCACAGGAAGTAATACTTTTACAAAAAGAAAGAAAGATGATTTTTTAGATGATTAGTGGTAGATTAGATATGTGATAATTGTAGAAAGAGATTATATAATAATGATAATTAAGAAAGAGATTCCAGAATAATGATAATTAAGAAAGAGATTCCAGAATAATGATAATTAAGAGAGATATTATATAATAATGATAATTTTGAAAGAGATTCTAGAATAATGATAATTAAGAAAGATATTATATAATAATGATAATTTTGAAAGAGATTCTAGAATAATGATAATTAAGAAAGATATTATATAATAATGATAATTTTGAAAGAGATTATATAATAATGATAATTAAGAAAGATATTATATAATAATGATAATTTTGAAAGAGATTCTAGAATAATGATAATTAAGAAAGATATTATATAATAATGATAATTTTGAAAAATTTCTATTGAACTTACAGAATTCTATTGTGCTTGAACAATTGAAGCCAAATTCACGCTATTTTATTCGTATTTTACCACAAATTAACAGCACTTTTCATGATAGCAATATTATTGATACATTTGAAATTAGAACTGGAATTGAAAGTATTATTTTTAAATTTTATTTTTTCTTTTTCAATTTCTTTTTTTTTTCTTCATAAATAATCAAATTTTTCTGCGGAAAAAAAAGAAAAAACATTATTTTCCTAAACTGATCTATGTTTATAATAAAATTTTAATTATCAATTCTTTTTTAATATTAATTTATCATTTAAATTTAATGCAAAATTATATCTAATATAATAAATTTAGATCATATGCAATTCTCTAATCCTAATGACATTCAATCATCAATATTACAACAACATGAAAAACACCAAAACGAAAATATGATGACAAAATTGGAAAATGAAAAATTAATATTGAATGCATGTAATCCAGATTCTATTAAGGTTAAAATTTCAACTCGAAAAAAAAAAAGAATCGAAACATTAGTTAAAATTTTAAAATTTTTTAAATTAAATTAAAATATTGCTTAAATATGAAATTAATTCAATGTATGAGAAATGTTTATAAAATGAATTAATAATTTTTATAGAATGAATGTTTATGGAATGAACGTTGTATACCAATACTTGAAGGTCATTTTCGTGGTTTATGTATTCCAGCATCATTACGTCATGCAATTATCAATAATTAAAAGGTTTTTCTTTTCTTTCTTTCTTTTTTTGTTGAATTTAAATTATTTAAATTTTATTTCATTCATTGATGTAATGCATAATTTGTTAATTTACTTGTTGTAATTTGGTATTCAAAAAAAAAAAAAAATGTAATTACTGCTTAAGAGATTTTTTTTTTTTGTTCAAATTGCTTAATAAATATATAATTGATATTCTTTTTAATATTATTGTTATTTATTATTTATCATTATCATTATTATTATTATTTGCTATCACTACTGATTGTTATTATTGTTGTTATTATTATTATTTATTATTAATTAGTATTATTATTACTTCTACTATGATTGTTATTATTTATTATTATTTACTACTAATGTTATTATCATCATTATTACTATTGTTATTATTATTAAGTATTATTATTAAATTTTCTTGATTTAGATTCGAAAAGATTAACGAATTTCTTCCTCGGGATGAATATTTGAAGATGTTCGAGAATTGAATTGATTTAAAATGTTGCTAATTCTATTTAATGACATATACTTTTTATGTAAATGCGCAGTTCATTGATTGATCAACTGATTTACTGACTGATTGATTGATCAATTGATTCGCCTACTGATTGATTGATCAATTGATTTCCTGATTGATTGGTTGATTGATCATTTGTTTCACCCACTGATTAATTGATTGATTGAAAATTGGTAGACTTGAAGTTTCGATTTGCATAAATATTCGCATTTATTATGAATATCAGAAATTAAATATTTGATTTAAACGAAAGACAAAAATATGTATTTTATTAATCTATTTGCTTATGTAAAAATGATTTTTGAAATTATTTTAATAAGTTTACAACAAATAGCGAAAAGAATTTGATTAAATAAAATTGGTTTTTTTAATTTGCATTCTTTCTTAATTTGGAATTTTGCTTTTCTTTTTTTTTTTTCATTTTCATTTTTTAACATTTATTATAATAAATATAATTGTTTATCAATTAACACTATTTATAAATTATAATAGAGAATATTATTTTTATTGATTAATTAATAAGTTATTAATTAATGATTATCCTATCAAGATTATTGATTAATTAATAAGTTATTAATTAGTGATTATCCTATCAAGACATTATTATATTGTATTATTCGATTCTTTGTTTAATTTTCTAATTTTTTAGATGTTTGAATTTATTGACTAACAATATATTAGAGTAATTCTAATGCATTATGCTTGTAATTCGAATTTTTTTACGTGTTTTCCAACGTGTAATTCGTTTGATTAATGAGAAAAATAAGAGAGAACGAATGATTTTAAATACAAATTATTTTGTATTTTATATTATTTTTTAATGTTAATTAAAATTTCAACAAAATACATTTAAATTCCGTGCTGTTTATGCAAATTTCAATGATAAATAAATGATAAACAAATGCAAATTAGTATATTTGATAGCTATTTTAAATGATATTTAAATTATAGCACTGATATGTATATGCAAATTTGCTTCCGTTGTACTGTTAGAAAGGGATTTTAAATTTAATACTAACTAAACTCAAAAATTTAATGCCAGTTAAACTTAAAAATTTAATACTAAGATACATAATTTCGTTTGCAATGATTAACGCAACAAAAAAATACTGTCAAAAAAAAATCTTTCAAAAGAAAATTTTCATGAAAATATTTTTGCCTAACTTTTTCTTAATGAAAAGTGAACAATTAAAAATAATGCTTTGAAAAAATTTTTCAAACAAAATTTTTTGACCGAATTTTCAAAACTTCTTTTATAAATAAAATATTTAAGACGAAAAAAGTGTTATTTAAATATACGAATGCAAAAGTGATAATTCTAAAAAGAAAAATGTTAAATTAATTAATATTTTAAAGCTAAATTAATGAATGATATTAATGACACTGATAGATATCAATAATATATGGAATTAGATTTTTTTTTTTTTTAAATCTAAAATAGCTTTTAAAATCTTAGATAAAATTTAAGATTGATGAAAAAAAAAAGGTGGATAAATTTCAAATAAGGTCAAGAAAATGTTACATGTGACAAAATATGTGACAAATATTTTTACTATTTCTGAAATTGCCTTTCCTTTTCCATTTTGATTCTTCTAAAAAATTAAGCTAAATTCTAAAATTGTCAAAAAATTTTTTAAAATATATGCTAAAAGTAAAATTCTAAGACTAAATAAGCTTATTTAATAAAATTTATTTCATATAATTTTGCTAAATAATTACATTTTATTTCAAAAATCACAAATGAATACGCTAATAATAAAAATATTAACATTAATAATTAGCATTAATAATTAGCAATAATTAATTCCATCTAACATTCAATCAGTAATAGAATTATAAAATTCAAATTATTCAGTAATGTTTTTTTTTTTTTTTTTGCATTACAAAAAAAAGATAAAATTTAAAAAAAACAATGCCAAAAAAATTTTTTTCCAACTTAAAAAATTTAGTAAAAAATTTAGATAAAAAAAAATGTTTGTTAAAAAAAAGGAAAGAATATTTTAAATATTATTTCAATTGCTTATTTTGCGCAGATTAATTTATTTCCGATATTATTTAACAAATAGAACATAAATTAAATTAAATCGATATGTTTTGATTACTTTATTTCAATTTTGTTTTGATTATTTCGAATTTTAAATATTATTTCAATTGTTTATTTTTGCATGCATTAATTTATTTCCAATACTATTTAATAAAGAAAACATGAAATTAAATAAAATAAAATTAAATTAAATTAAATCGATATGTTCTGAATTGATTTTTGGTGAATGAATGAATGAAGGAATGAGATTAGTTAGAATGTAATAATCAACAATCAATCACACCTGTAATCATGATAATAGATAGAAATTGTCCTCATTATTTAACAATTAATTTTCAAATCTTTTCATTCACACTTTTTCTCTTCCAAAATTTCTAACATTCATTTCAAACCTTTTTCAATTCAATTCAATCTTTCATCATTTACGTTTCATTCATTTCATTTTATCTTTTCATTATTTGATAATAACATTTCTTTTTTTTTTTTGAAAATTTTTAAACGCACAGATAAAAAAAAAATTAAACTTCAAAATTAGGAAAAGAAAATTGTAAAAAAAGAAAAAAATTTTCTCTCATTTTGCTTTTTTTTTTTTTGTTATTATTAAATTTTTTTTTGCTTAATTATTACTAAATTTCAAATTTTAGTATTAAATTTATTTATTGAATTATAAATCTTTCAAATTTTATTTTTAAATTCTTTTGTTAAATTACAAATTTTTTCTTACTGTTTGCTTAAAAAAATTTTCTTCTTACTATTTCTAAACTTTTTTTTTATTTTGCTTAATTAATTATTGTATTAAATTATTTAAAAAAAAAAAAAAAAGAATTAAATGATTTGTTCTGAGATGATAAATTTCTTTTGCATTTTTAAACATTTATTAAATTTATAATTTAAAAAAAAAAATTCATTTTTTTTTAATTTTATATAATTAAATCAAAAAATTTTCTTAGAAATTACAGTGTTTGATTTAAAAATTAAATAAACTTTCACTTATTAAACTTTGTATTCAATTAAATATTTGATTAAATTACAAGTTTGTTTTAATTTAACTTCTTTTTTCAATTAACTAAATTTTTTAAATTTATTATTCATCTTTTTTTTTTTTTCTGGTAAAAATTAAAGAGAATAATGTTGCTGTTATATTTATTGGTGATTTTTCGTCACATACAAGCTGATTTTACGACACATTTTCGTTCATTTATACATACAAATTATGGTATTGCTATTGTGCAAGCATTGGAACGCACTGATTTGGGTACCAATGCAAGTTTTGGTGGTAAACAAAGTGGTGAAGACGAATTTAATAATCAAGCTGTTATATTAATTCATGATAGTGGTGAGAAAATTACTCGATTACAGGTAATGCTTTCTATTTTTTTTCTCTCTCTCTCTCTCTTCATACTTCCTCTCTCTCTTCATACTTCTTTAATTTTATAAGTAAGTAAAATTCAAGAGTAATGGAATGATATGGTGATAGGTAATACCAGATTTAGGTAAACTTCCCCTTTCTCTCTCTCTCTTCATAGTTCTTTAATTTTATAAGTAAAATTTAAGAGTAATGGAATGATGCGATTATAAGTAATACTTTCTTTCTCTCCATGTTTCTTTTTTATAAGTAAGTAAAATTTAGGAATAATGAAATGATGCGTATTATTACCAGATTATACGCAATACTTTCATTTTCTCTTTCTTTGCTCTCTCTCTCTCTCCTTCTCTCTTCATGTTTTTTTTTTTTTTTTTGTTTTAATTTTATAAGTAAGTAAAAGTTAAGAATAATGAAATAATATGATTATAGGTAATACTTTCTCTCTCTCTCTCTCTCTCTCTTGACGTTTGTTTTAATTTTATAAGTAAGTAAAATTTAAAAGTAATAAAATGATGTGTATTAAGGAATGAATTTTTCCACTTTTCCTCTTTCTTTTTCTTTTTTTTTTTTAGCTATAAGATGATAAAACTTAACAAAAATTATTTAATTTCAAATTAATCAGAAATTTTTCATTTACTTACTTACTCTCTCTCTCTCTCTCTTGCTCTTCGTTTCCCTCTCTTTTGCTTTTTCTTTCTTTCAATTTATATGCAAAATTCAATGTAATGAAATTTTTTGTAGTCAATAATAATAATAATAATGATTATTTAAATCAGATAAATATTGGTTAACTCAGACAGAAAAAAAAAAAAGAAATTAATTTAAAATTTCTCATTTTTAAAAATATTTTGAAAGAGAAAATGAAAAGATTTAAAAAAGCAAAAAAGTGAAAAAAGATATTTTTTACAGCGAATGGTAAATCATTTACTTTCCAAAGGTTATAATCGATCTGAAATTTATGGTACAACATGGGGTGACGGTGGTTTAACAACTAATGCATTAATTGATTTAAAATGTTCATATGTTAAACAAATTAGGTATGAAAATTGTTTCTTCTTTTTCTTTCTTATATTTATAAGAATAAAAATTAGTTAGTAAATGTTTTTTGTTTAAAAAGAAATTTTTCATTAAAAAATAATTAATTAAAAATAGAAAAGAGATAAAAAAAAAAAAAAAAAAAGGTAATAATAATTTGATTGCAATTCATTGCGATAATTAATTCATTCATTGTTTATTTCAAATTTTGTGTAATAATTGTTAATTACTAAAATGTTATTAGCATTTATTATTTATCTTATTTTAACAATGTATTTTTCATTATTACAATTTATTTATTGTTTATTTAAATTTTATACAGCAATTGTTAATTATTTAAAAGGTATTAGCATTTATTACTTTTTTATAAATGTATTTTTCATTGCTACAATTTGTTTATTTATTGTTTATCCAAATTTTATACAGAAATTATTAATTATTTCAAAGCTATTTATTACTTTTAAAATATATTTAAATTTTAATTATTGAAAAAAAATTTTTTTTTTTTTATTTCGCCTTTTTTTTTTAAAGAAGTATGATAATTGCTGTTCGTCAGTATACTGGTACACGTGTTGACGTGATTGCATACGGAGTGGGTTCACCATTAGCGCGTAAAGCAATTCTTGGCGGTGATTGCGTTGATACACGTGAAATTCTCGGTTGCTCATTTTCTCGAATAAAATTATTTTTGTTTTGTTTTGTTTTTTTTCTTTTTTCCGAAAATGTTAAATAAAGTTTAATATTGAAATAATATAATAATAAATTTGAATAATTTTAATAAATAAATTCTTAAAAAGTTTTAATAATTAAATGTAAATAGATTTCCATTTTTTTTATTTTTTATTTTTTCATATAATACTAAGAGAAAGAATAATGATAATATAATAATATATCATTTTTTCTTTCATTTTTTTTCTTCTTTTTGCGCTTTTTTTACTTAGAATTGTAAAAATAGAAATTCTAAGTAATGCTTAAAATTTGTATTTTAATTACAACATTTTACATTTTTATTTTTTATATAATTTAATTCTTCGTTTTCTTTTTTTCCTCTTTTTTTTTCTAATAGAATATTTTTTATTTTTATATAATTAAAATTGAAATATTGAAAAAGTATTTTTTATTTTTTTTTTCGTATAATTTTTATTTAGGTCCACCACTTACGGAATTAATTGATACATATTTGAGTGTTGCTGGTGCAAATTACGGTATGATATCATGTTTTATACCGATACCGGTAGGTGCATGCAACCGTAGAACCGGTTTACATTGCCGGTCAACATTTTTGCAAGATATTAATGGACAAATTTCATATGAAGGCACATTCATCTTTAGTATTTTCTCAGATTCTGATGAAAAGGTTAATTGAAAATGTTAACTTTAATAATTTTTAAAAATTATTAACAATTTTTTAATGTAAAATAAATAATTTAGTAAATGTTAAAATATTTGATTATTGTTTGGTAAGAATTATTGCATTAATTTATTTATCAATTTATGAAAAAAAAAAAAGCATATTGAAAATGATAAAATAATTTGACCAATTTTATAAAATATTTCTTTTTCATTTTTTTTAAATTTAAATTTTGAATTATAGGTTGGTTATCGTGGTTGCAATACATTACTGAGTCCGATTAGAGGTGAAACCGGATTCGTAAAGAAGGAATTATTAAATCATGATTTAACTATTGATAAGACATATGAAATGCAACGAAATTTCATACAAAAACAGCGACCATTTTAAGTAAATAAATCCGTTTTTTCTTTTTTTTTTTTTTTTTTTTTGTTCTACCTGAAATTGCTTATTACATTTTCATTAATTATAAATATTTCCAATTGTTGGTTTTATTTAAAATATAATAAATAATAAATATGATAAATGTTTAGTTGAAAAAAAGAATGGCAGTGAAAATTATTTTTTTTTTTTTAATTTGAAATAACTAAATAGAATGAAACTTATCACATTATCATCATTTGAGGAATTTTTCAATTCTTCACTAATTGTTAGGAATTCTTTGGTATTTGTGATTGATTGGTTGATTAATTCAGAGAGAGAGAGATTATCCCATTATTAGATCTCTCTGTTCCTTAATTAACTGAGAGAAATTCTCTGATTCTTGATTTGATTATTTATGATCTGATAATAATTGAAGTAAAAGGAAAAAATTAATGCATACAATGCGTTATTGATAATAATGATGATAACTGAGGTGATAATGATGAATTACTGAGATGATAATAATGATACGATGAATTATTGAGGTGATGATAATGATATTTTATTACTGAGATGATGATAAGGATATGATGAGGTGATAATAATGATACGATGAATTATTGAGGTGATGATAATGATATTTTAATAATGAAATGATAATAATGATATTTTAATACTGGAACAATAAATAAGAACTAATTATCAAAACACTTTACCCCGCTTCTCTCCCTTCCTCTTACCCTGCCCTCTCTCTTATCCTGCCTTCCCTCTCATTGTGATTCTGGAAAAAATCATTTCAAAAACATTTAAATAAATTAGTAAGCATAAACTATTTACTAATATAACAATTTATTAGCAAATAATTTTGCAACATTTGAAATAATAGCAGTACATATAAAATTTTAATAAATAATCAAATTTAATGGAATAATTTAATACTTATTATTTCCAATTTTTTAATGATATCTTTGTTGCGACCATATTTGATGTGTATTTTATATGATAATATATATTAAAATAATTTAAGTACTTGAATAAATACATTTTAATTTCGAAGAAAAAAAAAAAAAAAAACTGTCAGATCATTTTGACTCCAAAGAGCAAATCATCTTAGATCATTTTAACTTTAGAAAAAAAAAAATCATTTCAAATCATTTTGATTCCGGAAAAAATCACCTCAAATACCTTAATTGAAACTTAATTTAAAAGGCTCGAAGAAAATATGATTTAAGAGATAAATTGATCGTATTTGGTTATTATCAAAAAATGAGCGGCATATTATCATAATTTTAACCCAAGGAAAAAATCTTTTTATCATTATATGATAAAAATTATTCCGGAAAAGTAAATGTAAACTATGATGTTTATTTATTACTTATCTTATCACTCCTAATTTTAAACAGTTCATATGGCAATTTGCAGGATACATTTGTTGAATTTTTCTTTTTCCCTAAAAAGTTAATAATAGTGTGACAATTTGTTATTTTAATAACCTAAAAGAATATCTGCAAAATTCTATTTTATTAAGATTAAATGTGAATTATTAATTCCATTAATGAAATGCTCATTATTTTGATTAAGTAAGCATTTAAAATTCAAGTTTAGGATTTGAAGATTGTGATAGTAATTTGGACATTGTTAGAATTTAATCAATAATTTAAGCTATTTTCTAAAATCGATGTTTAAGATTTCAAAGTTTTAAGCTAAATCTAGGCTATTTTCATGCCTATATTAGAATTTAATTTAATAATTCTGTTTGATACTAAATTTAACTTTCCATGATTACATTGAGCTTAATTTAGCATTTCCGGAAAAGACAGAGAATTTTTAGAATTCATTAAATGTTAAGAATTGTTAGCGAAATGCTTATTTTATCAAATGATAATTGATAATAGTTGTGATTTTCTATTTTTTTTCAGGAAATGGTTATATTTTCTATTTTCATGAAAAATGGTTATAAATTATTGGGAAGTGATCATGATGGAAATCATTTCAAAACAATATATCAATTATTAAACTTTTTTATTTTTTTTTTTACCAATTATTAAACTTACCATATACAAATGATTTATGTATATTAAATCATTAATGTACATTAAATCCGGTAAAACCGGAATATAACTGAATAATATAAATGAATGTCTAAAATTGCTTAGGTCAGTTGATAAATTTGTTTGACTTGCAATCGAAAAATTCTTCTTCTGCTGTTATCGTCGTACACTACTATCAGATATCAATATTTCCCTAATAGATGAGTTTTACTTTTTTTTATTAAATGATTTCAACTTATTAAATATTACTCTACTTCAGATAAAATTTTTGATGATTATAAATGTGTGTTATTTTATCAGTGATCTTATTTTAATTTACAAAAAATTATGCCATCTAAGAGTATAATTAACAAATATTGTAATTTTGTATCGTTATTTAAAACATTTTGAAATTATTGCGTAAAAATATTCGTTTGATAATTATAAAATTTTACTGTTATATGTATAATGTATGTTATCTCCATATACCAGATTTCTACCAATAATTAATTTTATCTGTCACACAACATTACTTTTAGAATGACCAATGATGAATGAAGAAAAAGAGAAAAAAAAAGCAAAACCATCCTCATAATGATATGTGTGAATTTTGTCAATTTATGATGCAGTTAATTTTTGGAGTTACATCACTTTGATAGAAACCAGTAGGTACTTGTAAATAATAGCATATGTACTAATTGCATCAAATTGAATAAAATCGATAAAAATAAATTATTATTGTAACGAATGAATGGTATTCTCTTATTAGACCAAATATTATTGGCCATACAATAAGATATAATTATCAAAAAAAAAAAAGAAAAATTTACAATTAATTAATTTTGTTAATGCACTGAAGAATCACTATCATTTTATTGTGATTTTTCCTTCGCAGAATCATAAAAAAAAAAAAAAACATCTTATGCTGCCAGCTTGCAGTGTATTCATCAATTATGTAATCTTCAATCAATCAACCAATCAATCAATCAATCAATCATGCATTGGCAAAAAGACAAAGTAGAGAGAGAAAGAGAAAAAAAAAAGGGAAGAAAGAAACAGCATATGTGTTGGATGCATTTGAATAAATTTCTTGAAAATGTTCAAAGATTCAAACGAAAGCTTCGCATTATTTCTCAAAGAATACTTTCGATTGATAAATTTCACATTGAAAATCAATCGACAATTTTCACCGATTGAGGAGCAAATTTTTTGATATTGGATAAAAAGTGAGCCAAAAAAAAAAAAAAAAAAAATGAAAAATGAAAGATGAAAAAAAAAAGAGGAGGAAAAAAAAATAAAAAGAGAACAATCCATAGCGTCTTATATCACATAACAAGAAACACCAGTCTCGTACAACATCGTATTTTTTTCAAAGCTAATTTCGACAGAAGAGAAAATTCATTTGCATCTTTGAAAGAATTCCATAAACTATTAATATGAAATAGATAAGTAACCCATTAAATTTTGTTTTACATAATAACAATCCCAATAATTTTTGCTCAACTGAATCGCTCACAATTTAAGAGTATTTAAAATAAAATACCAGCAAATAATCTTCTTTATACCTCATTGCGAAACCGATTAATTAATACTATTATAGCAGCATATAATAGACACAATTAATTTTGCAAGCAGCAAACGCTGACATGCGACATGTCCTTTTTTAGACCTCCTTAGGATGAGAGAAATGATAAAAAATGAATCTATCCAGGCAGAAATTGAAAAAAAGCAAAATTTCTTCCATAAATGAAATAAAATGTACAGATATTGAAGGTCACATATCGCACTAGCTTAAATCGAACAATAATAAATAAGACAAAGAAAGAAGCAAAACATTGAAAAATGACATAAAATACAAGAACACAAAGAATAGACGTAAATTCATCGTTGCGCAAATATGGAGGAAAAAAGCACTTGCTGGTGCACCACATTTGAGAATTTCAATTTTGAGTTGTTAAATTTGATATAGAATGAAACAAAAGAGGAAATGAAGAATTATATTGTTATGTAATGAATTACTGGTAATCTAAACAAGTCTCTCATTAGGTTATATGCCATGATAGAGACCGATTTTATCTGGATTACTAATCTTTTCCTTCCAAAAAAAAAAAAAAAAAAACGAACCAAGAATTTCTCTAGCCATAAAATTAAGGCGTAAAACTATGGGAGAGTAAATTGCAGAAAAAAAAAAAAAGAAAAAAGACAGAATAATTGGAAGATAAGATTGACTTGTTTAAAGAAATAATGACAACTAGTTGAGCAATAATTGATAGAGATTTTTGCCAAATGATAACTGACATGATTTGAGCTCATCCACCAACGAATCTGAATGTAAATCCTTAATTTCATCAAATGCCATTCCTGTTGACGACACTTGTCCATCACGATCATGCTCTATTTCTACCTACATTTGAAAAATAACTTTGTTAGATCTATTTTTCATCAAAACATAATTTCAATTAAAATGAAACAGTCATTTTCTCCTTTTTTTTTTTATAAGTAATATGATGTAAAAATAATAGATTTCATTTAAAATCAAATCAAAAAAAAAAACAGCTAGTTCAAAATAAGAATTATAACATACGAGTCGTTTGAGCACACTGACAAGAAGGGCGTATGGCTTCCTTGAATCAGCATCAGCATTCTTAAATGATTCCTTGAAATCTCCCAGCGATGGTCGAGGACCTTCGAAATGCTGCACCTCACACATTATTGACCAACTTATCACCTCTGCTACACATTCCCATATCCTCATGTTATCTTCCCACAGTTCCATTTCCACCACTTGTGTGCAATAATCTGCTACCCTGAAAATATATGATTACAATTACACAGGCTTCTACAATAAAACTGTTAACTTAAAAACAGTTAAAAAATTCTTACCTAAAAAAAAAAGAGAAAATAAAGCCTTAATTAATTTCATTCAAGGAATTTGTTCATATTAAAGTCTAAAAAAAAAAAAAAAAAAAAAAAAATCATTAAAGCATATAATTCTAATGGCCACTAATCATGATATATTTATACTTCATCACTTACCATTTCAGTTCAGTGTCATTTTTTCTTTTTTTTTGACATCAAATATCGCTTATAAAAGAAATATGCAAATATAAAGCTATGAACAATGATAAGCGAACCCTCGAAGAGCATGTCCTTTGATATCAGATCGTTGTAAACACCTGCATATCACTTGACCAACATATCGCCTACGTGGATTCCGAATATCACCATTAGTTTTTTCAACACCTATCTTCATCAGCAGTCGAAATGCTTGTCGAACTCGACGCAGGTCCATGTTCATTGTCCTCTCATCGATCATTATTTCCATAATTGATTGGAATAGCTGTAAGTTAAACATGATGATGCCAAATTAATATATACCACAACATTGAATTCAATGAAAATATCTCGTCAGATGTCATAATTTCAAGAACTACTGCTACTACTACTGTTGCTACTGACTATGCTTAAGGAAAAATCTCTAATCAACCAAAATTTCATGTGATGATTTAGACTAAAATTTCCTGACGAAATTATCAACATCATTATATTGTAGTATAAATCATGCATTACTTCTCTCATTATTAGTACATTAGAGAAAAATGAAACGCAAAAATATCACCAATTCAATATTTGAAGCATCGGAGAAATATTCATGTAATTCTCGATACAATGATCCAAATATTTCTTTCTCATCCACTTCACTTACTCTGCCACCTTGACTACCGTCTTTGATTTCATCATCCACAATTGATGATGGTGGTGATGAACCACCGGCTGCTATACCCGCATATCCACGCCTTAATGCGTTAGAGCTTGCACTGTGTGTTACAGCGCTTGCTGCTGCGATAGCCTAAATTGCAATTGCACTTTCATTTTTACTAGTAGCAAAACAAATAGATTGATTATATTATCAGTTAAAAATGATTAAAGGTTTTATTTTCTGATCATAAAATGTTGATACTACTTACTGCACTGCGTTCTTCATCTCTAGATTTCCTAGATTCTGATGGTTCTCGACTTGATGGTTGAGAGTTATCACGAGAAGCTAACGAGCCACGTCCCGCTCCACGACCAAGCGTACCACGCGACAATATACTCCTATCCATTTGCTGCCCACCACCAATTGCACCACCTGCAAATGGAGGTCGGCGTGCACCAAGTGACTGTGGTTGATCGACCTGTAATACTTGCATCTACATGGACATCGATAATTTCCACCAAAAAAAACTATCAAATCACTGTAGATAATGTTAATGTGAAAGCAATATTTTAAACATATAACAGTTTTCTTAATATATATATATAATAATCAATCCATTGCATAATTCACTTAATATAAGTATTAAACAGTCCTAATTTACAGAGAGCGTTTTGATTAGTTGCTGAATTTATAAAATAAAATTGCAAAAGTGAAATAAAATGAGATGATTAATAACTTAGCAACATACACTATTTAAAGTTTGATTTTTCCTGCTAGCAGTATTAGCAACAAGATTAGCAGCTCCAGCAGCTCGTGCTTTCTGATCACGACTTGGTTCACCAACTCTCGATCCGTATTGACGACCATCCTGTGACTGCCTTCCAATTAATACTGGTCTTTGGTTTCGCTTATCCAACGAGGTACGACCCTCATATCGTTTTTTATTAGCATACTGTAAACAAAATTTTCGAAAAACTACAAATAATACACAGCATGTATATTTTTAGAGATGAAATATGAGAAATATTTTACTCAGCAAACTTTCAAGAACATACTTGCTCACGCTGCAACCTATTTGCCATTTCTTCCCTTCGAGCTTCATCATGTACTTCCTCTAGAGTTTTTGGTCCACTTTCAGATGTTCGTGGAACCCATTTATTCTGAAAGTAGGAATAAAAAGCATTTTCTTTTTTAAAAAAAAAAGATTCAAATTAATGAAGCTAATTATCCACAACTGCTGAATATGTATGTCGAAAACAACCAACGTAGTGATTTCAATAAGTATGTCCGAAATATTCAAAAAAGGTAAACTACATTTAGAAAATATGAGTGAAAATAAGATGAGAAGTTAAAACTGGACCATTTACTAAATTAGCAAATATCATTAACAAAATGAGCACCACCAATATAGAACTTAATAGATAGTTCAAATTAATTTTCACTCTATCTCTGTGCGAGAAAAAAAAAGAAAAAAAAAAAAAAGAAAAACTTAGAAACGAACATCTCTTAGTTCGATAAGATTCAGAATCAAAAATCGAACGCGATTTGACACTTTTGTTGAAACTTCGTTAAGATGTTCGAAATAAAGATTCGTATTGAATTCTTCGTGTTTTTGCGCTTCTTGAGGGTGATCCTGCGCATGTGGATCCGATAATCCCGACTGATAACTTGCTTGTTGTTGACATTGACGATCAGCCAATTTGCCTACCGATTCAAGCATTTTGACGGCACATTCTATACTTTCTTCATCACCATCCTGTAAGTAGAATCAATATTTCTTCAAATTCCATTAGGAGCAATTTCGGATGTATAAAAAGATTGACAATCAAGCAGTAAATATGATATTAAAAGTGCAGAAAGTAGTTAGTTATGTTCATCCTAATTGAAATCAAATTTTGGAAATATTTTTAAGGGCTAACCGGTGATTCACTGTGATTTTTGAGCAAATGCACTATACACCAATTCAAAATCCGTGGTACTATTAATTCATGCCTAAATAGTTGTCCAATAAATCCTATATTGCCTAACATTCGCCGCCGTTCTCGTGCTTCCATTTCCATCAATTCTATTTTTAATTCGCGCTTCTTTTTCTCCTGCAAGAAGTGAAACAATTCTAAACAAGAATATAGATTATTTTTCTTACCACATAACCCTAAATTTAAAAGAATTTTATTCAATTGCAATCAGTACTCAGTTTGTTATTGAAAGCAAGTTTAAAAAACTTTGAAACAAACCTTAACATTAGCTAAGAAATTTGAGAGTTAATCATATAAAAACATGTTCGTTTTGCATTTTGCAAACGACAAAAACTATTAATATATTAACACTACCTTCAAAATTTGATTAATATTTATTTTCCTCTACTTAAATACAGTATAGACAGTAATTTTGTGAATTTCCTTTCGTTAAAAATTTTTCTTCTCCTTGTCATGAAATTAAAATTTATAAACAATTGCAGATTTCATACAAGATACTTACATCAGTTTCTTTCTCCATTTCAATTTTCTTATTGTTGATTTCAGACATTCTCTTCTCTTCGAAAGTATTCTGACACCGAGTCAATAATGCACTTCGAAATTTTGATTTATCTTTTGATTCTTTTGATTCTTTCACCACTTGCATTTTGCAAAGGTCACTTAAATACATTCAATTTTTCTACTAATTTTCCAATGAACTTTCCAAAAATGAATGAACTTTTCGTGCCATTTATAGTGAATTCCAAAAATCACACATCAAAAATGAACATAGTTTTTCCACTTCAACTTATCAATCTATCATCAATTCTAACTCTGCTCTTATATTTTCTAAACAATGTGAAAGAATACAGTTGATAAAAGAGGAATTATTCATAAAAATGTAGCAGTAATTATTCCAATTAAACTCACCGAACATTTAACACATTCTGCTTTATACACCGTTTTGTTTTACCAATATTCCAAAGAAATTGTACTATATTTCAAATGAACAATCATAGTACTTACCTATAGAGAGCACAGAAATTTGGTTCTTCAACAGCCTTATCAAAAATAATGTTGATCACTTCACCCATTTGTTCTTTGTTTTTGTAAACTTCAAAACGCAAGAAATCTCGTGACAGTTCATCGAATGTTGATGGCGTCAATTTATTCAACAAACTGCGCACACTCTTATACAATTTCTGCAACAGTAACATAACAGCTTATAATCAAATGAAATATCTTGTTTAAACACTAAATTTGCCATAAGCTTCATAAAAAACTATGCACAACTTTAATTTTCTTTAATAAACGATAACCAATATCATTTTATTGAAATATTTGTTTCCTTCAAAAATTTTCTAACAAGGGAATCACGTCTATTTTACCTGATTAGCATCAATATTTCTTTCGGGTTTCCATGCATTTTCAGCTTTATGCAATTTCACCGGTTCACGATTAGGTCGATCAATTGATGGTCGACTTACCGCTGGCTAAATTTAGCATAAAATTAGTGTATCAGTGCTGAAGCTCAACGTTTTAAAGTTATGAGTGATCAATAAAAAATTAGAAAACAAAATTAATTACGAACCCTTTTGCGATCACGCTCACGTTGATTTGAATGAGTCCGATCGCTAAGTCTTCCATGATACTGGAATTAATAAATTAATTTAAGATCTAAAATTGTAATGTATTTTTATAGGAAAAAGGAAATTGTTGCAAATTTTACCAGTTCCCGTCTTCGGAAACTTTCAAATTTCCATTTTTCGTCTTTGTGCTAGTGTGAAAAAAAAATGTTTCTTTTTTTTTTTTTCCAAAAAGACATTCACAACAAAAAAGTGTACTAATATTGCTTTAGCATTTTTTTTTTACCCTATAATATTCGATTAAAGAAAGAAAAAAAAAAAACTATCAAAAAACAAACCGCTTTTGGTTTTGATTGGCTTTTATCCACCCAACCGGGAATAAATCGAGCACCTGCACCAGCTGCACTATCAAAACGACGCTAAACAAGTAAATTTAGATGGACAGAAAATAAAAACAATGAATTAATAAACACTTTTTTAAACGATAACTAATATTTACAATGCCCGTTTAATCAATACAACATATTGTCTATGCATCGCTCTTGTCAGGATTATGGTATATTGGTTTCAAAATTTAAGTATATTCAATGTAGGTTAACAATCTTTGAGTTAAACGATAATAATTATGAATAAATAAAACAATGCTAACTTGACGATCACCAACGGTGCCATTAGCAGGAGCTGAAGCGATGTCAATACCAAGTTCTTTCAAGTCTGATACTTTTACAGGCAATACGGAATCCAGGAGGACATCTTTGACTATATCCCGTATCAGACACAAATAATCATGGCCATACACACGTTCATTCAGATTAACAACATTCTGAAAATTTTCTTGGAAAAATTATACCCAGAACTTTCTATTTTAGCCAAGCCTTTTTCTCTTTCTTCTCCTTCTTTCCTCTCCCCCTCTCCATCAATTAAATTTTGTTTTATCTCATTGTTTTGAAAAAAAAGAAAAACAATATGAATTTTAGTAACTTTATTTTCCAGTATAATTAGTATTTTTGCAACTAACTTCATCTTTTAACATTTCCTTTTGTTTAGCAGTATACTCTTGTTTTTTTCTTGTTAGCATAGCTTCAGGACTTTCTTCTACTTCAGTAAATTTCTCATCTTTTTCGGCTTCTTCTTCATGCACTATTTCAACAACAGAATGACCCCTTAAAAAGGAACACGATTGTTAAAAAATGATTAATTTGTAAGTATCATACTTTAGTTATTTGAGTAAAACAATTCTTCAAAGTTAGTTTTTTTTTTTTTTTTTTTAAAAAAATATTTTTCTTGCAAGTCAATTCATTGTCAATTTGAGAGCGAAAAAAAAAGCGCTCATTTCCAATTTCTGCCATTAAAAATTAAAAAAGCATTAACTTACTGTATCGAAAGCGGCAAAATATTATCATCTGTTTCTACTTGCTGCAATGGTTGACGTTTCTGATGTTCTTCGTCCCCTTTTTCATCCTCGTCATCATCTTCTTGACATTGCTCTTGTTCCCCTACTTCGCCTGCTATTATTAAAGTAGTTCCTATATCTCGTTCCTTATCATCTTTTGCAATAACCGATGTTACCATTTCAGTATTTCGTTGAAATTCCTTTTCCTGTTTGCTGTCTTGTTCAATTCCTTCATCTGATTCTAAAATTGTGACATATGAATATGATTATCAAAGATTCCTGTAAGTTGATTAGTTCTCTTCTGCAAAACTACTCATAAATATCTACTTATGCATTTTTTTTTACTTTTTTTTTTCTTTTTCTTCTTTACTATATCATCTATGTTACTCAACAGACCTTGCGATTCAGCTGATATAGTAGAATCATTTTCCTCCACTGATTTCGGTACTTCTACGACCACAATTTTTACTTCGTCTGCTGATAGCTCGGGTGGAGCACTCCTTTCGGCCTTAAGTGAGATGTATAAATGCAAAAATGCCAAAGGAAAAAAAAAGTTACTTCAAAATAATTACTTTAAAAATTCTTCATAAAGAGGAAAACATTTATGGTAAAGTTCAACTCATCACCTATAACTCTGTGTTTTTTTGAAAATTGATACCTCTTTTGACGGTGATATAGTAGTGGATACTGGTGGAGCTGATGTTGACGGTCGTGGTGTCACATCAACGACTGCATCATTTTGCGCTGTTTGTGCTGGAAGAGATGAGGCGGTGATCGTAGGTGGTGGAGTAGATGTTACGGTAGTGACAGCATTAGAACCACCTAAGACTGATTGAGCAACTTGCATTGTGAATTTTTGCGATGCATTTGAAGGGAACGACGATGGCTGCTCACGTTTCACGTCCTGTCCTGATGAAGGACCTCTCTTACCACCTGCAAATACTCACAAAAATATTTAAAAAAGAAAATAAAGTGATAAATGATAAAGTTTTTCATTGTTTCCATAAAAATAATTGCCTATCTATGTAATGAAACACAGAACACTTTAAAGCACTACCATTTCTTCGTCTTTTTTCATTTCTTTTTTTCCTCCAAGAAAGACATTAATGACCTAATTTTGTTTTAAAAAAAAAAAAAAGCCTTCTTTCTTATAAATTGGGAGAAGAGAGTAAACATATTCCGATAAGATGCAAATTCAAGAAAAATGCAACTCAAAATGACTTTTGAAAAAATAATAGAAAACTCATCCTAATACTTTATATTTTAGATTTACCAGTCATGCATGAAAATACAAATCTATGAAACGGGTAAATGTCGAAAATAACGATCAAAGAGGAAATGATTAAATGAAAACTTGCAATTCCCAAAAAACACCCAAATATGGTAATTACCATAGTTATCGCTTCTCAGCAAAGTAACATTTCTTAAAGTCTCAAAGTCACTGCTATCATTTCTTCAAACTTTAACAATTATAAATAACTGATGAAATAGTTTAACAGTGGCTATGAAATAAGCACAGAATTTCACAGCGTTAAGAAAAAAAAAAAAGAAAAATGAGGATAATACAAGCTTGAAATAAGCTAATTTTTTCTATCGTAAAATAAATAATATAATAACGAATCCTGAAACTACTACTTTAAACAACTTTAGTATTTTATGACTTACTCTTCGATTGATAAGCAGTAACAAATTTTCACAAGGAATCTAATATCTATTGATATTAACTTTACATTAATCTACTTCAGCTATCTTCTAAACATTATTTGCATAAGAACAAATAAAAGAACACAAATTTATGAGAAAACACAACGATTAAAAAAGCATAAAAACCTACAAAAGTATTTCGTGCAGTTTTTTTTTTTTTTTTTTTTTTTTAATTTTTTCATAACAAATATCGCTTTAGCAAGATTTGCTTATTCATTTTATGTTGCTTTCTGCTATTAACATCATCAATTCAGTTTTTTTTTTTTCCCTTCTTCCTTTTTACTTCATCTATCTTCATTTATTCAAATCTTTCTCCTAGTCTATATCACCCACCTATCCAACCTTTCTACACATATCATAAACCATCCTAGTAAGATGAACAACAGAAAAAAAAAAAAAACACAGGAATAAACAACAGATGAAAGTGAGATGGAATAGTTTTCTATTCCATCTCACTTTCATTTGTTTTCTATTTATCGTTTCAGCAACAACTACTCTTTACACCTTAACTACAGTTTCATCCATCTTTATATATAAGTGAAAAAAAAAAAAAGAAATTGGAAGAAAATTTAATTCTCAAATTTACGAAACAATCATTTCTTCTACTAATAGCAACAAAATATCATTCCTCAACTCTCTTCTTTCACTGAGGCAAAAGATGTTTCAACCATAATGACATCGATAAAAAAAGAAAAAAAAAAGACGAAAAAAAAAACGGACCCATAGCTGTGTAGGAGATGAATTGCATCGATTACAGACGCAATAACGGCTCATTACTTTCTGAACCACTCACAGTCTAAATAATTTCATTCCTATTTAACATTCGCTTTTACTCTTTTCTCAATTTCAATCCAAACTTTTCTCACCCTCATATTTCTTAAATTTACCCATTTGTAAATAATAAGAATATATTACATTACTGCTACTACTACTACTACTTCTACATTCTTCTCTCTAACCATATAATTCCCCTGCTAACATTACAATATTTACTTATGCTATTATCAAAACTATTTTTACAATACAAAAATATACTTAATACATCCCAAAAAAAAAATTTGCACATATCATTTCAATCACTTATGCAGTAGAAAGGATGAATAATGCAATTCAGTTAAAAGTTATGAATTGCATAACCTTTCCTCTCAATTCCCATCTTTCTACCAGTATCATAGCATTCAATCATCATTTTCAAATCCTGTTTATATTTTTGCATACTTAAATGTCTCATTGCTTGTTAACTACCTGCCGACATATTTCTTAACCTGTTCATTTTATTTACAAATATACTTTTCTACTTCACTGCCAATTTGCTTTTTTTTTTTTTTTTTGCATATTTGCTTACTCTTCTATCTCGCTTATACTTCTTAAAATAAAATGAAACGATTACGCACCTAAACTAATAATACAATAAAGGATTCCATATTCGAGTACGGCCAGATAATATACGAATAAAAAGCGGTTAATATGTTTAAAACAAAACAGCAATTAATCAAGTAAAAATGATCACAGTTAAAGTTACAACCATTTTTAATATAATCTTATCATATTTAAATCAATTCTTTTTTTTTCTTCATCTTTAATCATTTGATGAAACAATTTTTCTCATTTAAATTAATCCTATGAAGAGCAATAATTCATTCCATTTTTTAAGTGAACATTCCAAGTTTTTGCTACCCCATTGTCATCTTTATCTTAATCCTATGATATTTTTAAAAGCAAGCTGTAAAATATGACAAACTGTTCATAACAACTGTAAATCTATATTTTTCAAATATCCAAAGCATCAAAGTTATAACATATACTAAAAGCACTATCCATATTTCTGGCGCAAAATAGCAACATAATAATGATCACATTAGCTTACCAAAAAAAAAAAAAAAAAAACCAACTACATTAGCCAATTAACCATTTCCGCTTGTATTTAATAATGATTGCTACCGATGAAACCAATAATGTTTTATTTGAACGAAAAGCCACTTTCCTCAGGCAGCTTAATATACAAAGAAAAAAAAAAAACTACGAACATATCAAACTACTTATACTTATTTCTTCTTTATTCATATCCATGACAGCTTTACCTTGTCTATCCCATTGTTGTCTTTTCTTTTACCATCTAATAATAAATGCACTGCACCCGTGAAATATTAAGTTAGCCAGTCGAAACACAATTCTTTTTTCTATTTAATCTTTTATTTAACTACATTTTTCATCGTATTATTTTTCCCTAAACTTTGCGAGCATCCCTAAATATAACAAACTTTAGGCTAAATAGTTGCATAGTATTCTAATTTTGTTTTTGGTTATATAGAAATAAAGTAGCATGAATGTAGTTTAGCATGATAATTTAAAAATTATATGCATGCATTTGTTCCTAAATTCCATATGTCATTATAGTCTAATCTAATTCTCAAATAGATACACAGTGTTTAAGTATTGAAACAAATCATAGATGATTTAAATGCAATAAATAAAATGTAAACTGTTCATTCATTCACTAAACGGTAGTCAATATGATGATTTATGAACAATAGCATATAAGTCTTACTACCTAAATTATCAACATCAATATCGTGATGCTCTACCCAACCCTTCTTCCGATCTATGTTCTCTGATCAGTTTTTTTTTTTTTTTTTTCTTTAAAACTAATATAGCCTGATGCAACGAAAGAATGCCAATCAATCAGTGATCAGTTATTTCAAATATTAAGAGAAAGGAATTACGCAGCAAATATTCATGCAAAAACATATATGCTAAAAAAAAAGAAAAAAAAAAAAACTAAGACATATATTTTCATAAAAACTTCACCTTTATAAACAACTATATAACTAATTTCATCCATACAACTGAAACTCATCTCCTGTTTCTCTGTACCATGTAAAGGAAGATGGAAAACGGGTAAGAGTGTAAGTGAAATGCGAGAAACATACGAAAAGATTGATTGCTGCAAAAATTATGAGTTAAGAGTAAATATTTAAATCAACTGTCATATTTGCTGACGGTTAAAAATTGCCTGCATCTCGTAAATTTTAGATCAACAGATCAATTAATTATACGCTGTATACAAATGCTGCATGTGAGCTTTCGTTCATAAGACTAATAGTATCAAATACAAATGCTTCATCGATTCTTTTCGATAGGCTTTCCATTAATGCTAACCGTCCTCGATTTCACCACTAATATTCACCAGTGACTTTTCGGTTTATATAAAATTATGAGTTAATATATCTCATAGAGCGATATAAAAATTATATAAAACTTTGGAGTTAGTGTCTTTTAAACTGATATAAAAGCTTACATAGACGTCTTACTTAGATGACACGTACAGCATAAACAAGAATCCAGCCAAAAAACAAAAAATTGACATATGCCGTCATCAAAATGAAATGAACGTTAGTTAGTAAATGCGACCAAAACATGGTCTTCTTTGTAAGCAGTGTAAGTAAATGAATATAGTAACCAATAAACTACCGACAAAACCGAATATACTTACTAGTATCAGCATTTTCCACATTCTGTTGCATCATTTGTTGCTGTTCCTTTTCCGACCTGATGATGTGATCTTTATTCGTCACTTCATTCGTCGTCGGATCGACAATTGACAAGATTCTCTTGGTTTTTGTGAGCTGTTGAGGTGGTTGCTGCGGTATACTGCCTGTTATTCCCGCTGTGGTTGTAGTTGCAGGTGGTGCTGTGGGTGGTGTTGCAGCTGCAGTAACTTGCATTAGAAACGGATTTTGATTGTAGCCTACATTTATGCGTGCTGCTGCTGCCGCCGCTGCCGGATTAATGTAATCTGCTGGCTGAGCAGGCGGAAAATATGAATAAACCGGAGCAACAACCCTGAAATTTGAAATACGCAATAAATATTTTCAAAAAAAAAAAAAATTTGATTAGAATAATTCATGAGCTATTTTCATGTTACATTTTAATCTTCCTCTTTATATCTCTTTCGAAAAGCATATGTCTATTTTCAAGAGATCATATTAAACTATTGTACTGCTGTCTAGAAATTTTTTGTTTTTTTTTTTCACAATAAAAAGTTGATGATAAACTAACGGAGGATAATAAAATGACTGTGGATTATTGGGTATAAAATTGTGTGCACTATAAATAGCGTTCGAATTGTACATCGAACTGGGTGGGTAAGCCAACTGAAAAGTTAATACATCAAATCAATTTAGGAAATATGAAACTTTTAAAAACCGCAGAAGAATGATAAACATATGAAAACTTGCTGTAAAACTAGAAGTATCATTTAAGTGAGCATCAATATTACACAGTCAAACATTTTTCGATCTAATTTCAAACTTTAGATGTAAAAATGAAAAGACCTGTGAAGCTGGATAATTTTGTTGTGTCTGAACTGGTTGCGCTTGATATCTGGCAGTATGTATTGTTATCTGATGATTACCTTGCTGCGGACGTGCACCTTCCACATGCGCTTCGCCCGCTGCAAACTGCATACTCGGATTCCTATAACATAATACATAGATCACTATTTTATCAGACAGAACTGATTATGAAAATATCACAGTCACTATTACGACAGATGGATGATTTGCTTTACAGCAATTATTTTAATAACTATCAAAACTTTAAGGTTATTGAGAAAATGAGAAAGTGCGCAAAATAAATGAAACATATAATATTATAACTTTAATTTTGTTAATGTATTAAAGTAAGGGTAAATCATTTCATAACCTATCCTTCTCTATTCATTTTTCCTAGATCTTTAATAAACTTACGGAAGATTCCTTGGCGGCATCCGTGTAACAGTAGGATACTGACTTGTAGTATGCGGTGGATGTGCACTGTCAACACTTGGTATAGCAAATGAAATTGGTTGTTGAGGTGGCTGCCCAGCATTTCCATTAACCAAAGGCTGTGTTGGTTGCGCCGGTGGTAGCACCCCAGCGGGCATTTGAGAGCTTACAATATGTTGGCCACCATAATCTGAATATTTTATTCTTAAATTCATTATAGAAATATGCTTACACACAATTTCAGATAGATTTTTCCATCCAAAAATGAAAAAAAAAAAAAAAAAATGAGTGAATCCAAATAATGGAAGTTTCTCAGGTCTCCTTCCTTGTTGATTTTAGACTCTGAAATTTGCAAAATAGCGAAAAATTATGCTGACATCTAGCTGTTGCGCCTGTGCGCTGTATAAGATTCGGCACTGCACCCTTCTGATTTCTTGAAGCAAAACCTGATACTACCTGCTCAAATGATACACCTATAAACAAGAATATACAGTACTACCGTGCTCGAGGAATTTTTTGAATACCTAACACATACAAAAACATTCTATCATTCCTGTTAAGCTTAGACCCCCCCTCTCATTAGGTAAGTTCATTTATCATGTTAGAGCGCTTAATACATAATCAATTTTATGATTCTACTTTTAAATCATGTGTAATAAAACCATATGTAATACATGTCTCTAATATACATAAAGAGAAGCAAGCGTTATAGTTTGTTATCACTTTTAGAGAAAATAAAATATACATGATGAAAAAGAGGAAAAAAAAAAAAAGCTTAAAAATCTTTCTCGACGATCTTTCTCTCTATCTTTATTCTGTCTCGCCATAAAAAAACAAGACTTTAAAAAAAAAACCATTATAAAACAAAACTTCTCAAACGAACCTGAGGGAAAGGAAAATGATAAAGTAGAACTATTCCAGTATAACATGATGAATAAAAAATAGGAATAAAAACTAGATTTTTGCATTCAAAGGGATGGATCATTCTTGGAAATTACGGTATTTTTGACAGACATTATCACTATTGAGAATATTCCTTACAGCAAACCATCTGAGCAATAACCTAATATCATTTATGCTTGCTTGCTGTCAACCATCTATTCGTACGTTCTTCAATTTCTCCAAAAACTTTATTCCTTTTCTCAATTTCTTTTATCCTTTTGAATTTTCATACTTCCTTTTATGAATAATGATTGAGATCAAACAAACAGTCAACAGTAAGATCAAATTTCTATTTATAAGCTTTCTACCCTCATTTAACAGTTTATTCGAAATATACCAAATGCACATTAAGTGAAATTACCTGGAATGGATCCATTTCTTCTTGGTTTCCCTCGCGGGTTACCACTGGACATATTATGTTTGAAATTTCTGAAAAGTAAATTTTTTGTTTCATAAGTGATATCATATTGATTAGTAAAATGGTATCATAGGCTAATATGATAACAGAATAAAATTACAACTTTTCACCATAAATAGATAAAATGATAACTAGTTGGTATTACCAACAGAAAATACGATTAATTTAGTAATGATTAGATTAGTTAAATGATTTTTTAATTACAAAAAGACACAATGATTACTAATTAATACTTCCACTGGAATAGACAACAAATTTAATAAGTGAAATAGTATCAATGACAGAGATAAAACAATTGCTAATTTATGCTATCGACAGTAGGCTGCTAACCTAATAAAAAGTACGTTAGTCCGAATGGATCCAAAGATTTGACTCGATGAACAACATTCGTGTTTCTTTCTCTTTTAATTTTTTGTTTTTTAACTGGAACATATGGTCATTTTAGAATCATCCGTCTATTCCGCACCTAATTTCAGTACTATGTATATCAACTTTTTCCAATTATAACTTAAAAAAAAAAGAAAAAAACTTTTTCATCTACGAAAAAAAAAAGAAAATAAAGATATCTAATTTATATATGTGTATATATGTGTGTAACATTTTAAAGTTTCATCTATAACCATTAAAATATTGCAAAAGAATATCTTAACGTGAATGTCTATCAACAATTCAAAAAATAACATATCCGGTTCTCGAACATAATTATTCATTCATCCTAGGTAACAATTCAACTAACTGATTATTCTAGGAATTTTTCTGATTGATTGAAACACAAGTAGATGTGAGTAAAAGCAAAACTTTCTTTGTTAATCTTTTAACTTTTACAAAATACTCCTATATCCTAGATTCTACTGAAATTAGGACTAAATTTAGCCATAAAATACATAATGCAAAGATTAACAATGATAGCAAGTAAAAGGTACAATTATCATTGCATATTCTAAAAATTTGTAATAGCAACCAAAAATAATTTCCATAAAAATCTATCTTAATCATTTTATCTATTATTTATTCTCATTTAATCATTACATTAAACACTTATTGGTTATATCGTATATAATAAACATTTACTTATCCTTCATTCTTTTCTTACATTTTTTCTTTGTCATTCTTCTAATCATTATCTAAACAATCTCATTTTTCCTAAATACTCTTCTACTAACAATTCAACTAACCGGTAACAATTCTATTGATAAAATATAAATAAAATAACTTTCTCATTATGTTTTCAATTTTATCATTTCTAGCCTATTTATAATAAAATTTTCACTTAATAACAATTATCTTTCACAACCGTACTGTACTTACACTGTATCGTACCGTACCACATTCCACCGTACTGCATCGAAATATTTATACAAAAATATACCTTTTAGAGATGTATGCAGTAATCTTACTATAAAATCATTCTTATACTCTACTAAACATAGCAAAACACAAACAAATACCATAATCTCATCCCCAGCTTGTAGGCTTTCATTTTTACTAGACGTAGCGCTGTAACACACAACATCACAATAGTCTTTCAACGATTTGATGACGCAATGAAAAAGCATTCGTCTCATCGAATATTATTTTTTAATTGTGTTAAAAAAAAAAAAGAAAAAAAGAGAAAAAAATGTTGTAATTAATTTATTTCATTGTGTTAATATTCATTTTTATTCGTTTTATTTCTTCCCTTTCTTTTTTTCCTTCTATTGTTTTATAAGAAAGAAGAAAGGATGAAAAAAAAATTAAAAAAACTGAGAAATTATTAAAAGAATGAGAAAGATAAGAGAGATAAATAATTGTATGTTATCTAATCATTTCTCATTTGTTTCTTATTTTTTCTCTTTGCTCTTTTTCTTTTTTCGTTTTTAGAAAAGTAGAGAAAAAAATGGTTCAAAAATGTAAATTTTTGATTAATTAATAAAATTTAAAAACATAAAAAATGAGCAATGAATTGTAATGAGCTACAAATAATTTCCAAAATATAAAATGTTTAATTGAATTAATGAAAAATGAAATATTAAACAAAAAAAAAAGAAAAGAAAGAAGAGAAATTACAAAAATAAAATAAATATAAAAAAGAAAAAGGAAAATGGATATTTATAAAGAAAAAACTTTAATTTATATATTTTTTACTTTTATAATTTACCAGTGTAAATTAATATATGCATAATTATTATATAATATTGATTCATTTAAAAAAAAAAAAAAAAAATCATTTAAAAAAGTCAATCATGAATAATTTGTTATAGATAAAATGATTAATGTATTTTTTTTTTTTTAGCAATTAAAATTTCATGAAAAAAAAATTATTAACAAAAATTAGTAATAATAAATCTCATTACCAAAATTGATTGTTTTTTCTTCCCTATTTCACTTTTTATTGTCATCACTAATGTGCTAATCAATAATCCCAGATCATTTCATCTAATAATCAATAATTCCAGATCATTTCATTCATTAATCAATAATCCCACATCATTTCATCCACTAATCAATAATTCCTGATCATTTCATCCACTAATCAATAATCCCACATCATTTCATCCACTAATCAATAATTCCAGATCATTTCATCCACTAATCAATAATCCCACATCATTTCATCCACTAATCAATAATCCCACATCATTCCATCTAATAATCAATAATTCCAGATCATTTCATCCACTAATCAATAATTCCAGATCATTTAGCCCGCTAATCAATAATCCCAGATCATTTCATCTAATAATCAAACGATGTATATTTTTTGATTATTTTAAAGAATGCTAGTGTCAAATTATCTCGCTTACTAATCAATACTGAATATTTCTTGATTATTCTGGGTCACTAGATCATTTCATAATCAGTATTGAATATTTCTTGATTATTCCAGATCAATAGTCTAGATCATTTTATCTACTTTTACAAGTAATAAGTAATGATGATATTAATTCAACACTGCAGTGTTACGAATTTGTTAATTCCAAAAAAATAATGCCAGAAATTATGCTAATTTATGATCAATTAAAACTTTAATATCATTATGATATATCAAAGTACGACAGATGCGCTTCTCTAATTACAGGTATGTTTTCCTTATTACAACAAAAATTTATTTACAGCTCTTTTTTTTTTTTTTTTGAAATTTGATGAATTTCAATCATTTTAATCTAGTGTAATAGAAAATGTAAAATATTTTCATTTTTTGTTTCCCGGAAAAAAACAGAAAAAGAAGTTATTAAAATTCCGTAAATTCAGCTTCAGCTCTACTACTATAATCTTTGAACAACAACAAGTTTATATGCTAGGATTTGAATATTTAATCTTAATTAAATTAAATAAACTTTCAAATATAGTTAGAAATAATTATCGCAAAAATTTTTTTTTTTTTTTTAGTAAGATAGGAAAAATTTTTCAAACAATTTTGTTTCATAAATCATTAAAAACTCAAATCAATTATATCCTTTATAAATTTAAACTAATTTTTATATACTTTTTAAGATTAGAAAAAAAAATTGAAAAAAATTTTTTTTTTTTTAAAAAAAAAAAGAAACCTGCGAAATGCTGGCATAGTAATTTTGTTTGATTTAGCCGAAATGTTAATTTCGCCTAATTATATTTATTTATGAATAAAATTCAAAAAAAAATTAATCGATTGATTGTTAAAGGCCGATCAGCGGCCTTAAATTCGATAGAAATGAATTGAGGAGCAAAAAGAAAAATTATTTAAAATATTTTCAAATGAAATCTAAAAAGAAAAAAAAAAAATTTGCATAATTTTTAAGAGAAAAAAAGAAAAAAAAAAAAAGGAGGAATGGAGATTCTTTGTTTTTTTCAAAGTATAATTATTAATATAAAATTTTAAAATTTTTTCATCCACCAAAATTTTTCCATTTGGTAATTACTTTTTATGCTAAAATTAAGTATAAAGTTAGTTAAAAGGTGTAAAATTTAGTTTAACTAAGAGAAATAAAGAGAAAAGAATAGTGGTAATGATTGATGATAATGATTGGTGATGATGATCATGATAGCTTATTCTTATCAGCAAAACAAAATTTTGATTATCAGAAATATTTTTTTTTTTCTTTACTATCATTTTCAATTATTTGCTTTTTATTTCTAATTTATAAATGAGGAGAAAAATATTATAAATAATATAGAAATGAATTAATTATGAATGATGTTGACATTGATTATATTATTTTTCAAATACAATCATATGATTATTTATTGTTCAAATAATAATCAAAAGTGATATTTTTGACAGAATTATTTTTGCATTACTATATTATTGTTTGTTAAAAAAAAAGACAAAAAAAAAAAAAAAAAGTTAATTAATAAATGAGATAGTGAACAAAGTAAATTCATTACAATTATAATTAAGTAAATAAATCATTATATTATTATTATTTTTTTTTCAAGAATGATATTAATTTATTTAAATTATAATTTTAGTATTAAAATCAAAAAATGATAATAACAGTAATAATAATAATAATAAGGAAAATTTATTTTTTTTTTTTTTAACTTCGTTTCTCTCTTTCTTTCTTTCGTTTAAAGAATAAAATTAGCATATCAAATTTATTTTCAGTAATAAATCATTTTTTTCTTTTTTTTTTTTTTTTTTTTTTTTTTTTTTTACAGAAATAAACAACGGAAGAGATTTGATTAAAAGAAAAGAAAAGTTAAACTTACATATATCGCTGTAACATTCTTACAATCGGATGAAGTGGAACATTTAAACGATTTTGTCGGTCGATCGGACGATTCCTAACATTTTCATGAGTTTCTGTGTCGTTTGAATGATTTTCTGTGTCGTTTAATCGAATTGGAATGTTTGACTGATTTGTTTGATTCATTGGATCAGTTGAAAAATTCGATTCATTTTCACTGTTAATCAATGATATTGTTGAAAAGTTGAAATTATTTTTCCTATCAATTGAATAACAATTTTCCATGTTGATCAGGCAATGTTGATTTTCACGATTGATCGGATCATTTGGATGATCTTGATGATTTGCTCGATTGTTTAAATCATCTGGATGATTGCGCTGTTTTTCTCGATGATTTCGCTGCTTTTCCCGGTTGATTAAATCATCTGGATGATTGCGTTGTTTTTCTCGATGATTGCGCTGTTTTTCTTGATTGATTAAATCACCTGGATTATTCCATTGATTTTTCCGATTGACTGAATCACCTGGAAGATTGCGTCGATCTTCCGCATTGACTGAATCACTTGGAAGATCTTGTTTATTTTCCGGGTTGATTAAATCACCTGGATGATTCTGTTGATTTTCCCAATTGATTGAACCACTTGGAAGATCTCGTTGATTTTCCGGGTTGATTAAATCACCTGGATGATTCTGTTGATTTTCCCGATTGATTGAACCACCTGGAAGATCTCGTTGATTTTCCGGGTTGATTAAATCACCTGGATGATTCTGTTGATTTTCCCGATTGATTGAACCACCTGGAAGATCTCGTTGATTTTCCGGGTTGATTAAATCACCTGGATGATTCTGTTGATTTTCCCGATTGATTAAACCACCTGGAAGATCTCGTTGATTTTCCCGGTTGGCTAAATCACCTGGTAGATTCCGTTGATTTTCCCGATTGATTAAACCACCTGGAAGATCTCGTTGATTTTCCCGGTTGGCTAAATCACCTGGTAGATTACGATGATAATTTTCCCTGTTAGTTGAACGATTTTGATAATTATGATGATTTCCTCTCTCGATCGAATGATGTGGAAAATTACGATAATTTTTCCTCTCGATTGAACGATTTGGATAATTACGATGATTTTCCTTCCCGATCGAATGAGTTGCTTTATCTTTTCTTTCCATATTCAAAAAAAGAAAAAAAAAAACGAAATAGCTTCTTTTCGAATTATCGCCTGCAAAAAAAAAAAAAAACCTCATTTATTTTAATTAAAAGAAATTAATAAACATATGAAAATTTCAAATATATAAAAAAACGCATATATTTGATCATAATAATAAATTATTGATTGATTGCTATATACAAAGTAATAAATTAATGATTCAACAAGAATTTGCTAAGATCAAGAATAATTTATTAAATGTTTATTTACTAAATAAAAATATAGAAAATAAGAAAAAAAAAAAAATTATTTACTAAATAATTAATCGCTCTATTCTAATGCTTAATATATTTCTATTAAAATATTAATGATTGATTTATATGTAGAAAGTAATAAATTTTAATTACAAGAAATTAATAAACATATTAGTATAATTAATAATTACAAGAAATTAATAAACATATTAGTATAATTAATAATTACAAGAAATTAATAAACATATTAGTATAATTAATAATTACAAGAAATTAATAAACATATTAGTATAATTAATAATTACAAGAAATTAATAAACATATTAGTATAATTAATAATTACAAGAAATTAATAAACATATTAGTATAATTAATAATTACAAGAAATTAATAAACATATTAGTATAATTAATAATTACAAGAAATTAATAAACATATTAGTAAATTATATTAGTATAATGAATAAATTTTAGAATTTATAAAATTATCTTTCTTTTTTTTCCTAAATTATTCATTATTAATAATAATATATCACAGTATGATATAAGTATGATAGTAAATATCATTTAATGATTTTTTTTTTTAAATTAATCGTCGATATGATAAGAAAGGGAAAAACAATTTTTTTTTTCTTTTTTATGTTTCTATTTGTTACATTTCTTCTAAATTTAAAAAAAAAAAAAAAAAAAAATTAAAAAAGATAAAAAATTGATGAAAATATTTGATAAAATATAATATATTTTATATGATGAAGATAACATATTATTAATTAATGATAAAATAAACAAAAATAAAAAATTAAAAAAAAAAAGAAAAAGCTAATTACTATTTATAATATTCATGTTGAATAAAAAATTTCTTAATTTTGTTTCTAATAATTTATTCATCAAATAATATATGAATAAAATTAGTTAGTAAATAATTTTTTTTTTTTTTAAAAAAAAAAAAAGCAAAAAGCAAAAGTAAATAATTTTAGAAATTATCATAATTCCATCATAAATTAATAATAAAATTTAAAATTGCATCAATAATTTAATTAACTTTTTTTTTTTTTGTTGTTGTTGTTGTTTACACAATTATATTAATAATTGAAAAAGTTCTTTTTTTTTCGAAAAAAAAAAAGAATGAAATATTAGCAAAAAAATTTATGCAATTCAATTTATCCTAAAATAGCGATGGAGAGAGAAAGGGAAGGAGGGAGGAAGGGAGGGAAGGTGAGAGAGAGAGAAATGATCAGATGACCGTTGACCTCAGCAATATATATTGCTCTCAGGAACACTACCACCATTCACAACCAATAACGATAACAGGACAATAACAACAACAACAACAACAACAACAATAATAATAATAATAATACTCTCTTCTCTTCCCTTTCTTTCTCTCTGTCTTTCTGAGGTCAAACATAGTCATTTACACATTCCCTTATTTTTATTGATTGTTTCAATTGTATGTTTACTTCGGATAAATCATATTGGCTTATTTTAAATCTTTGTTTTATATTTTGTTTTTTTTTTTTTTTTTCTAAACATTTTTTTTTTATGGCTGTAAAAAAAAAAACGAAAAAAGAAAGAGAAGAATTAATGAATTATTTATTTTGCATTAATAAAAAATATAAACGAATTAAATTTTTTTTTTTTTTTTTGTTTATTTTATAAAATGAAAAAAAAAAATATTTGTTGTTTGTTTGTTTTTTGCTGCAAAATTTATTGTTTTTTTTAAATTCGTTTTAATGATTTTAAAATGTAGCGAAATCCTTTATTATTATTGTTTTTTTTTTTTTTTGATGTTTTTGAATGAATGTTATAATTGCATAAACACTCAGCAGAAGCAGTAAATATTGACATAGCGGATTGATAAATAAATCTGATTACATAATCACATCTGAATTAGTAGAAAAATTTGATTGCATAACCATATATCAATTTGTAAAATAAATCTGATCACGTAACCACGTGAATTAGTTGATAAATCTGATCACGTAATTACGTGGATTAGTTATAAATCTGATCACATAATCACACATCGATCAGTAAATCAATTTAATAATATGACATATCTGACTACGTAATCATGTATTGATTGGCAGATAAATCTGATCAGATAATCAATCATGAATCCATTGATAAATCTGATCACATAATCAATCATGAATCAGTTTATAAGTCTGATCACGTAACCAGCCATGAATCCATTGATAAATCTGATCACACAATCACATATGATTTACTGATTACTCTTTTTTTGAATATTTAATTTCTTCATGTGAATTTCCATGCTTCTATTGCTTTGAATTGAATTGAAATGCAAATTGTCTAATATTTTATTTTTTCTTCGATCAATAAAACAAACAATCAATTACACAAAATATTGGCATGAAAATTTTTTTTATAAAATTTGAATTAAAAAACTAAATTTTCAATGTAAATTTATTAGCATTTTTAAAATTATAAAATTATGAGTGTATTAAAAATTTATTCATTGTAGAATTTTTGCCATATTTTATCTTATTTCCTCTTTTTTTTTTTTTTCTTTTTTTGCAGAATCGTTTGCTGATAAACAATTTAAGAAAAATAATAAGAGATTAGGCTATATTATGCAAGAGATATCGATAAGTTCAGATCGATCAAATCCACAAGAAATACCTACTTCAAAGATTATGAAAAGCAATCTGTAAATTATTCCCTCCATTATTTATGTCTTATCATTCCTATTATCACTCTATATTTTCAATTCTTTCTCTATTGCTGATAAAATTAATTTACAAATTCATAATATTATTGATTAATTGATAAAATTCTTTTATTACTAGCATATTTCTGAAATGAAACTTTTTAAAAATATTAACAAATCTTAAATTCTTTTTTGCTTTTTTGATGTTTTAAACCTAATATTTATTTCGAACTTGTAATACTTGTAATAAAAAATATTCAAAACAAATCATTACTGATAATAAAATTATCATTGATCAAAAAAAAAAAAAACAAATAACTTAATTAATTGCAAAAACAATAATATGCGATTAATCGCTATATATTATTTTCCTTTTTATTAAAATTCATTCTCTTAAATTATTAAATATAACTGATGCAAAAGCAAATAAATAACAAAACAAACAAAACAAAGAACTTAAAATTATTACTGACTAGAAAAACACTTTATTTATTTGTTCATAATAAGATTATTTAGATAGAAGATGATTGATAATAATAAATAAATAAATAGTAATAAAAAATAAATAAATCAATTAATTAATTAATTAATTAAATAAACAATGATAAAGTTAAAGTTAATGAGAAATTTAATGATTAAAATTAATGATAAAATATTACTTTTAGTAACACAGCAAAAAGCTCAACAAGTAATGAGATGAATTTGGATGAAACACAAATGTCGCATGCACCACTAACCACAAGTTATATTATCAAATCACCGCGACAAAAACCAAAACAGTATAAATCTTTAATATTATCATATTAATTTGATCAATATATTGATTTAAATAGTTTTAAAGTGATCAACAATTAATCAATTATCAATAATCAAAAAGAAAAACGAGAAAAAAGAATTTATTATCAAAATAACGATTAATAGATATTATTTCATTACTGTTCAGTTCAGATCATTTGTTTTGTTTTATAACAGATAATAATTGCTTAATTCAAAATATTCACTTATTTTTAATCATAAAATCTATCACATTCAATCATAATTAGCAATAAATTTAATAAATTCTTAATTTTTTTTTAAAAAAAAAAAAAATTGATAATGACAAAAAAGTGGAAGAAAGAAAACTAACAAAATTACTGAAAGTAGATTTGTAAAAAAATTTTAAATTTAAACTTTATTAAATCTACTTTATTGATATTTGAAATTACCATTAATTAATTAATAGTAATTATATTTGAAATTATTTAAATTATAGAGCAGTTGCAATTTATTTTACACCAATGAAACAGCGACCTGAAATAGCATTAACTGAAATGCAATTATGCAATGATGCTGATGTACCACTTTTATTTAAACTTTGCTCCGATGCGACATCCAGTATTACGGTTATTAATATTATTCTCAAAAATTATCATTATCATTAACACCATTATTATTATTAATTGTTATTATCGTTACTAATTATTACTATTATTATTGTTACTATTGCTATTATCATTAATTATTATTGTTAGTAATACTGCAATTATTATCATTGCAATCAATATTATTATTTATTGATTAATGTGATCAATTTTTATTTAATGCTCTCCTAAATTTTTAATGCTAATTATTATATTAATTTCAATTAATAAAATTAATAATACTAATATAGTAATACTAATAAAATTACCAAAAATACTAATAAAATTAGTATTTCTTTTGAAATAATAATATTTAATTTATAATCTTTCTTTTTTTTTTGATATATTTATATAGGCAACACCAGCTGGAAGTGGTTGTATTCCGCCACGTGCGGAGCAACGTTGTTTTTTAACTTGGCGACGAACAAAACAACAACAGCAATTACAAAAAGATATAAAAACATCAAAATTAATTTTAGTTACAAATTTTGTTGAACAAGAAATTGATAACAATCAAACAATTGTAACTAAATTAATAGGTAAATAAAAAAATTAGAAATATTAAAAAATGATCTTATTATAATAGATAAAAATATATGAAAGACAATATAAATTCTAAAATTTTATTAAATATATATTAGAATTGTAAAATATCTAATTTTTGTAAATTTCAATTTTTTTTTTTTTTGATGAATTATTTGTTAAATTTAATATAATATTTAGGGTAAATTGATAAATTTAATGATATAATAAATGTAGTTAAAATTTGGTTAAATCGATAAATTTAATATAACAGACTGATAAATTTAATGCAATAATTAAAAACTTCTAGATAAATGATAAATTCAATGTAATAATATATAAGATTTCTAGGTTAAGTCAATTTTTAAAAATCGCCCTTTTTATTAAAAATTCTAGGTAGAATGATAAATTTAATTTGTAAAACAAAAGATTTCTAGATTAAGTCATTTTTTTACAATTAACTTTCTAATTTTGTTTGAACCTAGGCCATTTTTCAATGACTGTATAATTTGATAAATGTGAATTTTTTATCACTCAGATTACAACGAATACAACATTTCTGCCTTATATATTATTATCTCATATCATAATTTTAAAATATTTTTATCATAACTTTAAAATATTGATATTTTCATTTGAAATAATTTACATAAATATATATAATGAATGATTTACTTTACCTTGTTTTTCTTGACTTTGCAGCACGAATACATTCAGAAGGAGAAGGAACAGAGAGACAAATACCATTAATGAAATTTACATTTGAAAGAAAAGAATTGATCACATCATCTGAAACATTAAGTTATCAAACGAATAACACTAATATGTAAGGTTTAGTTCTTCTAACTATACTTATAATATTAATAATTTTTTTTTTCTTTCTATTCCGGAAATCATATTAATTTCCGGCAAAAATAGTATCAGTGTCGTCATACTGTTACTCAATTATGCAATATTAATATTGTAATAAACAGCAAATTGAAAAATTCCATTAATCTGAAAAATTATTATATCTTACATTCATAAAAGTTATTTTAAATTGCTATAATTCATGAAAAATCTATGAATGGAATAAATATTAAAATTGTATAAAATATTAAAATTGACTTCAAAAACAACAAAATATTTATTTGATTGTAGAGAAACAGCGAAAATAAATTATGATCGAGAGGAAGCATTAAAAGAATTAAATAATTTCATTCAATGGTTCCAGCTACATCCATTGGAAACAATGATGCTACTATTATTCTTTATTGCATTATTTGTCGCAATTTTTAATTAAATATTATAAAATAAATTTATCAATTTTCATCTCAAATAATAACATTTTAAATTGTTTTCGTACAATTATTTTCTCATTTTGAAACAATTAATTAATTTTTCATTACCAAAAATTATGTTTGTTTGATTTATAAATTTAATGAACAGTTTGTTTTAATATTTCGAAAAATAACATTCATCTAATTTCTGCATCACTACAGATATGAGTCACGTCTCCGACAACATTACGTCTTACAACATTCGTCTAATTTCTGCGTCACGTCTCCGATAATATTACGTTTCACAACATCCACCTAATTTCTGCATCACGTACAGATATGCGTCACGTCTCCGATAATATTACGTTTCACAATATCCACCTAATTTCTGCATCACGCAGATACGAATCACGTCTCCGATAACATTACGTCTTACAACATTCGTCTAATTTCTGCGTCACGTCTCCGATAATATTACGTTACGTAACACTCGTCTAATTCCTACATCGTCCCGTAATTTCGGTTTTGTTTTTTGGACGTCCGCAAAATATTATCTTTAATGCTAGCATCTCCAAATTTATATATCATTTATTATCATTTGATAATTCATAATATTTCTACTGTATTAATTAATTCCACAAATTTGTAAATAAAAATCAGATCAGAAGAAAGAAAAAGAAGAAGAAATCATAAAAAATATATCATATGCCATATAATAATTAAACAAAAAAAAAAAAAAAAAAAAGAGAAAAACATTAGTATTTCTGGTAAAAAAGAAAGAACCAATTACAAATATATATTTTCATATTATTACTTCTCAAATACAACCAGTCATTCTTTTCTGTAAACAAATAAATAAAATAAAATAAAAAAAGAAAAGAAAAAGAAATTTACTGAGTGGTATTTAACGGTTTGTTGCTTTTTTCACATATTCAATTATTTGTCAAAAATTTGCAATGCATTTATTTCTTCATATTTCCTTCTCATATCAGGTTGTTTTTTTCATGAATTACTGACAATTTTATCATTATTGTTGGACATATCTTTTTTTTTGTACTTTTTCTTAAGTATACATTAAGAATAAAGTAATTAAATGAGAAATCATATTTTCTTTTTTTTTTTTTTTTTTTTTTTTTTTTTTACAAATTGTTATTATTTTTTTGATTAAATGGTTAGGGAAGCAGTGTTTGCGCAAAATATTATAGATATTATTCTGATGAATATAATTTTCAATTAATTGCAGTATTTTTTTTTTGTTTTGTTTTCAGGATTCGAATTTCTTGATAAAATGGAAGAAGAAATAAGAGGTGCAATACTACCGAATAATAGCACTACTACTACTACTAATAGAAGTAATAGTAGTAGTAGTATCAGTAATACTAGTACTAGGAAATTATCATATTTATCAAAAGTTGAAAGCAATATAACAATTCTATCTGGTATATTTCCATTTTCATCTCAAGTTACATCATCGTTATCATCATCATCATTATCATCATTTGATAATATCATGACTGATCATTCCAAGGTATGTTCATTTGAAAATTTACATTTTAATATTTTAATTGTTGTTTCTAGAACTAATATTACTATAATTGTGCTTACAAATGTTTATCCCTTAGATTAATTTGATTATTTAATATTTATCAAATGATGAGATTTATTCAGTAATTCATTAATGCATAATAATATAATAATGGTTGAAAAAAATAGTTTTACAATTTTGTAATTTAAATAAATTTAATTGATAATAATGTTAATATCTAGGTTTGTCGATATTGTTTATCAGATGATGAAACTAGTGAATGGTTAGCACCGTGTAAATGTATTGGAACAATGAAATGGGTTCATTTGAGTTGTTTCGAGCAATGGCTTTCATTTGCGCCTTATGCGATGAAATATAGCTGTGCTATATGCAGGTGAAAACGTTTGTCGTTTTAATTATTTAGTGAAATTAATTTTTATTTTAACAATTCATTAATGCTTAATAATATAACATTATTCAGCTATTATTATTATTATAAATACAGTGTCTTTGATTGGAATTATTATGAAGTTTAATATTATATGAACAATGATGTTAACAAAGTAACTTAACTAGCAAGTTAATACTATTATTGTTCCTTTTTTTTTTTTTTTTTTTTGAGTCTTCTTTTTAGTTTTCTTATCGATCACCTAACAAATGAATAATAAAGTAATTTCCAGTTATGTGTATCGACGTCAATGGAAATTAAAATCTTACAAAAATTGGCATTGGCCACAATTTCATCTACGTATAACCGATCTTTTGGGAATATACTTTGATATAACTCTTACTTATCGCATATATCGCTACTTTCCACGTTGTTTGGATAATAGGGTTACATTCTTCCTCTATGCAAGCTATCTTTTGCTTTGGAAATTAGTTGTTCTGAGTAGAATAAGACTTAATTTTTATTCAAATATTGTGTATGATATTATTACATCGATATGCTCGTCGAAGGTGCTTGATGCATTGTAATCGCTTATTAGTAGTATTATTACTTTTTTTTTTTTGTTTGTAATTCCACTATGATGCATTTTTGGTAATTTTTGAAGAATTAGAAGTTTGTAGCTAATTATTTTTAATATTGTTCAAAGTGAATTAAAAATTTGCTTTAAATCTAAATAAGATCTTCATATAAAATCTCATCTTTATTTGGACCGTGATTTTTATCTTCATTAATCCGATTTTTTTCTTTTTTTTTTTTTTTTTTTACTCATTTTAAATTGTTTTTATCTCTTCACTCATTTTAAATTGTCTTTCAAATTTCAGTTTTATTAATTAAAAGTCTTTCGAGTGCGTATTGCACAAAATTCATAATTTATCAAATGATAAGCTTCCTATGCTTTAATAGTGAATATTTTCAAATTATTCATTGTATTGAATAATCATCATCTGATAGATATATGTATGATTTGTATAAGTATGCGAAAATTTATGAGAAAAAAAAAAGAATAAATATCTTTTATCTTTTATTTATTTAAATTTTTTCACTGTTTTAATGATGAAATGGTTATCTTTAATGGTTACTGTCTTTTTTAAAACGATAATTAATTAAGTTTACATGAGTTGAGTACTTGAAAACAGGAAATATGTAAGCAATTTAAAACTTTACCCATTTATGCAGTGCTTCCATACAATTACTTTTGGATAACATTCCTATTGATTAAAAATTTAAGTCGTTATTAATTTTTTTCTTTAGTTTATTAATTATTAGTACTGTAGTTTATTAGTTTATTCTTTAGTTTATTTGATGGAAATTATTAATTGCGAGAATGAATAGTGTTAATTTTGAAACAAAACAAGAACAAAAATATAAGTGCATTATATCATTTTGTTATAGATGGTTCATTTTTTTTTTTTTTTTTTTTGCTATAATTAAATTTATGAATTAAATAATTGCCATGTAATTTGATATAAATTATTAATTGAGCGAACAATCATATTATGTTTTTAATTTAAAAATCCAAAAATTATCATATATTTTTGTAATTCTGCGATGCATCATTACGTGTATTAAATGTACTTTATTTGATGGCTATCTGATGTTTTTTTTTTTTCCGATAAATTATTAAATTTAATATAGTTTATGTTTGAAAATTTTTGATTGGAGGTATAATGTAGTTATTTTTCTGCATAATATATTTCTCTTAATATGGTTTACATTTTACAATTTTTCAGGTTTTGATTATGCAAATGCTATGAATTTTCTTTTTTAAAGAAAAAAAAAATATATTTCAGCTTGATTTAATTTAATGGATAATTTAAGTTTAATAGAGAAAGAAAGGTTGGAGTTTTGATGAGTACTTTATGAATTAGTTTGAAAATTTAAGTTATAATTTAAATGTTTTTATATTATTTTTTTATAAATGCTTTAATTTTCAGTTAAGAAAGTGACTGAAAGGAATAGTTATGCATCTTGAAAGTATAAAAAACGATAACTGGAAGATATGCCAATTATTGGATGATAAAACTAATAGTGATGATGATAATGATGATCAATTTTCACAAACAAATATGAAGGTAACAATAATGATTATTTCATTGATTTGTTGTAAATAAATTTTAAAAAAGAAAAATTAAGAGAGAAATAAATTTTGCTATTAGTGATAACAGTTTTTTTTTTTACTTTTTTCTTTTTTTTTATAGATTTGTAGATTTTGTTATGTGGAAGGATCGAATGAAATTGATTGGCTTAGACCTTGTAAATGTTCTGGTTCAATGTTATGGGTTCATAAGCAATGTTTTAATTTTTGGTTGGGAAAAGCGTCTGGAAGAAGCAAAATACAATGTCAAATATGCAAGTAAGATAAATTTTCAATCAAAATTTGAAAGATTCAGAATGAAATTACTAAATCCATCAGAATGAAATTACTAAATGAAAATAACAAATAAATTTTTTTAAAGTATTATTAGTAAAAAAAAAAAAAAAGAAGTATAACTTCAGGATGACATATAATCATTTAGAATTTTTATTGTATTTCAACTACTTAACATTTGCAATATACTTTTAATGTATATTAGTTGATCAATGTTAATATTGAATATTTAAGTATAACTATTCTATTTTAGCATATATTTTCTTTTTTTTTTATTCTGAGATAACATTTATCTAAATACTATTACAGATTCAGATATAAGAAATTATTGCTTTTGAAGCCTTGGAAAGAATGGTGTTTACCGGATTTGCATTTATCATTTGTTGATGTGTTAGAATTGTTATTCGATGCATACTTTTTATATCGAATGAAATTTATGCATACGATAAATAGGCCAATTTCATTAGTGGTTAGAATACTTCGAACATCGTACATTCTTCATCGATTTGGTTTTTATGTGAGAGTTTTCTCAGCTGTTGCATCTTCATTTTTTAGTGTTGTCATTATTGATGCTGTTTAATTGAAATTAGATTTAATGATTTTCTCCTTTTTTCTTTTTAATATGACAAAATTTTTTTTAATTATGATAGAAATACAGCGAAACCATATTTTTTTATATATTCTCTCTGTGATATATTAACATATCTGTGTAATGTATAACTAATGAAACTCATAAAACTAATTTGAAATTGAAAGAACTTAATTGAGCAGTATCAATGTAGTAAAGTATCTATTGAGAATCCCGATTTGAATAATTTTGTTTTAATAGAGATGAAAAACAACAAAAAAAAAAAAAAAAAGACTTAAAATGAAGATTAAGAGAGAGAGAGAGAGTATGTGTATGAAGATTAGAATAAAAATTTAAATTGGTAATTCAAAAGTTATAATAACATAGATTCAGGATTTTTTTCATCGATGGGAAAGATATTATGTCAGAAATAATAGAGTATAACTATGTTTTCTTTTCTGGTGTAAATAAAATAATGGAAAATGTAAACGGTATGAACAATTATTCATTTCAAATACAAGAAAAAAAAACAAAGGTGAAATAAATGGTTGATAAGAAAACAAAAAATATATATATAAATTAGTGATGTGTAATTAAATAAAACTGCGCATACTTTTTACTGATAAAAGTTTCTTTAATTTTCGAACATTTCAAATATCACTTTGATAATTCACTTATTTCAATATCAATGCATGATCAGAATATTTAAAATTAAAATGTTGTTTGTTGTAAAAAATGATTTAATTGCATGAAATTATTTTATGATGTAATAATTTTAACAAATTTTTATTGTGCATGTTTTGTTTAACCTGTAAAAAATGTTCATTTTTTTGATATGATAAACAAGTTCACTTATCATTGATCTAATTAAAATATTTATCATGTAGTTTTATTTGATTACATTGAATTATTTGATAACGATTAAAATTGATTAATCAATATTTTGTTTTAACTCATTACTGTGCATTTTTTGTTATTCAAATAATTGCACTGATTATTTAATAGTATTTTGTGTATTTATGGTTCATTTTATTTACATTCATTCTTCGTTTTTATTTATTTTATTTTATTTTATTTTATTTATTTACTTATTTTTTTTCATGCTAAAAGAGAAAAAAATGAGAAAAAAAAATTCACAATTCATACATTATATGTGTAATGTTTTTTCTTAATAATATGAAATAATATTTAAAAAAATACTTAAATAATATAATGAAAAAAAAATTCTATTGATTATTGTTTATATATACATATTATATCATTACTTAAGTATAATTGTTTATCGTAATTTTTATTTGTTAAGTTAGCTAATAGTGATTAAACAAAGAAACTGAGAAATTATCAGATGAAAGATTAAATAATATAAATATATTTCAATTCATTCATATTATCTTCTCATTAATAAATTTTGAATAATTTCCCAAAATTATTTCTTTAGTAATTTAATTTTACTACAATATTGTTTTAATTATAGATTTAAAAAAAAAAAGGAAAGCATTGATAAGTGATAAGTAATATTAAACTATTTTGGTATATAATTTGAAAATTGTTATTTTGAAATAATTTTGAATAAATAATATAATTAAATTAGATGAGAAAATTTTTTTTTTTTTTTTAAGAGGGATGTTTATAATCTAATTTATGTTTATTTATTAAACAATTGCTTTATTCTTTAATTAGAACAAGTATTATTAATTCATTATTTAATTTATTATTTATTTTTAAGCATTGATTTTCAGTTAAAATGTTTTTGGATGATTTGAAGGATTATTTGTCGAAATTGTTAGTTTCATTGGTATTATGGATAACTGATGATCCTGGCTCATTTTTTATGATTTTATTATTATTCATTGCACCATTCCTATTAATTACTGTTATTCTTTCATGGAAACTTCATAAAGCAATTAAAGTAAGTTTTTTCTTTTCTTTTTTGTTTTTTCAATTTTTAATTTATCAATTTAATCATCAAAAAAAAAAAAAAAAAAAAAAAAGAAGGAAAGAAAGAAAATTGAAATATTAATTCTAAAAAAAAAATGTTATAAATTAGAAAAGAATTGAGAAATTTTTGAAATCATTAGATCTTGTTGCTATGTTTTTTTTTTCTTTCCTTTCTTTTTTTTCTTTTTTTTTTTGATCATAAATTAAACTTTATTCTAAATTTGAAATGATATTATGAATATAATGAATTTTTTTTCTCTTTTAATTAATTGTAAAAGAAGAAATTTAAAAAAAAAAAAGGAAAAAGAATTTTAGATGGAAAAGAAACGTAAAAAGTTGCAGAAAAATAATGTACGACGTAAGAAGAAAGAATAAGCAAATTTATCTATGATTATTTTTTTACCTCAAGTATTTCTGTATTTATGTGAAATTTATGAGTAAAAATTTATATCAAAAATTTGAAAGTTGTTTTTTTCTTTTCTTTTTGTTTTTCATTTATTTCAACAAATTATTATTTTCGATTCAAATTTGTTGTTTCTTTTTCTTTCTGTTTTCTTTTTCAGTTTGTTTATGAATGTTTAATATAAATATTTGACAGATTGTTAAGAGTAAGAGCTATTATATATCATAATTTAATCGTTATTTGTTTCAAAATAATTTTTTGAGAATGCCATTTTCGAGAATTTATCAGATGGAAATTTATTTTTCAAATACGAGAATAAATATATTTTACACCTAGGAAAAAATGAATAATACTAACAACTGACTGCACAAAAGTTTTTGTACTAATTGCAAAAATTGTTTCTTAAAAATTTTTTTTTTTTTTTAGAAAGAATCATTTATTCATTTAAGTACTGAAATAATTTCGAATCAAATTTTTATTCATTTAAAAGACATTTCAATTATATCAGAATTAAAATTTTATCCATTTAAAAGACATTTCAATTATATAAGAATTAAAATTTTATCCATTTAAAAGACATTTCAATTATATCAGAATTAAAATTTTATCCATTTAAAAGACATTTCAATTATATCAGAATTAAAATTTTATCCATTTAAAAGACATTTCAATTATATCAGAATTAAAATTTTATCCATTTAAAAGACATTTCAATTATATCAGAATTAAAATTTTATCCATTTAAAAGACATTTCAATTATATCAGAATTAAAATTTTATTCATTTAAAAGACATTTCAGTTATATCGGAATCAAAATTTTATTTATTTTTTTTTTTTCATACAATTTTAATACTTTTATAAAAAGACATTAGCATAAAATATTATTCAAATATGCATACTTTAACAAATTATCATTTTTTTTTTATTTTTCATAAATCTTCCAAAAATTTGACCAATTTTTGAGCAATTTTATAATGTATGAATGTTGATGGATACCATTGATTATAATAAGCATAATCGAAAGCTTTAAGTGATCTGAAAATTATTGATCTGCTTTAAGTGATCTAAAAATTATTAATCATTGATCTGCTTTAAGTAATCTGAGGATTATTTAACCACTGATCTGCTTTAAGTGATTTAAAAATTACTAATCCACTGATCTGCTTTAAGTGATCTAAGAATTATTAATCACTGATCTGCTTTAAGTGATCTAAAAATTATTAATCATTAGTCTACTTTAAGTGATCTAAAAATTACTAATCCATTGATCTGCTTTAGGTGATCTAAGAATTATTAATCACTGAATAAGTTAATATCTTTTTTTTATTATCATTCATTCAAATAAATGATAAATGAAAAAATTTCTTCACTCATGCCTTAAATTTTAAAATTGAACCTTTATTGAACATTTATGAAATTAAATTTCAAAATTGAACCGCTATCTAGTAAAAAAAAAAAAAAAAAAATTAGCGAAATCATTGTAAACAAACGTACGTCATATTATTTTGTTGATACGTGAATGATTCATTTGTATTTAAACCTCTTATAGCATCAACAATTGCACCATTCAAATCAAACAAACGAATTTGTCGATTGTCATAACCTTTGATTGTCATTAATCTCCAAAGTTTCTAAAATATAAAACGAAGAAATGAAAAAATAATTTGAACATTTGAAAATTTTATTTTATATTAAAATTTAAATTGAATGCTACTGGTATATTTAATACTTTTTTCATTTATTTGCATAAAAATTTGTGATATATCCAATCATAGTTTTATACTTTCTCATAACGCTTATCATTTTTTAGTAGTAATTGTGCTGGATAAAAATGTAAACAATATGAAATAAATGCTATTATTATTATTATTATTATCATCATCATCATCATCATCATCATTATGATTATTATTATCGCTAATTATTATTATTATTATTATCACTATTACTATTATTATCATTATTATTACATGCTAATATACCGAATTGATATGTGAAATCATTGAAGATAATTTCAAATTATCATTTCCATTTGCGATTAACATTGCATAACCAGGTGTTTCATATGGATCAATCAAATTCATAATTATGATAATACCTTGAAAATTTTTTCATAATTAAAAAAAAGAAAAATGTTTAACATTTATAAGAAAAATGATAAATTATTTATTTCCTCTTTTTATGATCGTTGCAAATCGATATTTAAAACATATTTAAATTTAAAACATATACAAACTTTTAAAACACATTAAAATAAAAGTTTAAAACATATTTAAATTTAAAATGCGTTTAACTTTAAAACACATCTAAAAAATTTGAAATATATTTAAATTCAAAAAAAAAACACGTGACACTATCATTCAGCTAAATTAGCTTTGAAAAAGTGGAAAAGATTATTATTTTTTTCATCCTTTTTAATCTAAATTATTAAAATTCTGTGAGACGGAAAGCTTTTAGCTGCAAATATTATATATTTTAATCAGTTCAAAAAATAAAACTATTATTTGTGTAATTAATATAATAATAATAATGTTTCCTTAATGATAGTGATGTTATCAATTTTTTTTTTTTTTTTTAAATTTGAAATTAAGTTTACAAAAAATTCACAAACAAAAAAAAAGAAAGAAACAACCATTATCCACTGTATTGATTAAACCTAACACAGCATTTGCTATATTATCATTAATCTTATCAATGCTAATTCTTTTATCAGTGATATCATTTTGTTGATGCAATATTAATTCCGATAATCCACCAACTTGTAAAATAATCAATGAATCTAAAATGTAAAATATTGCTAAATTAATTTCAGTTTTAATTTATTGAACAAAAAAAATTTTTTAACATTGATAATAAAAATAGCTTATTGCATTAGCTATCATCAAAAAGTGAAAACTAATCAAAATTCATTTAATTCATAAAGAAAAAAGTAAAATAATCAAAGTAATTTATTTTAATTTATTCTTCTTCCAAAAAAAAAAAAAAAAACAAAAAATTAAAGAAAAAATATTTTAATCAATAAATTAAATTTTTTAAAATTTTTAGAAAACAAATATTTTCATTAAAAAAGAGAATGTTGTAATCAAATAAATTAAATTTTAACATTTTTAGAAAACAAATTTTTTTAATTGTTTTTATAATTGAAATTTTTAATATGATATATGATATGATATGATAAGATAAGATATTTTAAATACTAATATAATTATAAATTTATTTATTAAATTTTTTTTTTAACCTTTTGGTATGATACGATGATTCATGCAATGATATTCAATTTGCCATAGTATTCCTGACCAATCAGAGAAAAATTTATTATTATAACCACTTTGTGCTCCACTATATGCATAATTAATATACTAAAACAAGAAATTAAATAATTAAAATTAAATTAAAATTAAATAATGAAATTAAATAAAAATTTGTCAGTTTTATAAAAAAAAAATTCAACAAAAAACAAAAAATTTATTTGCCAATTTTTCCTCTCTTCTTTTTCCTCTTATTTCTTCAAAATTATTTCTAATTTTTTTAAAATTATTTTATCAATTAATTAATCTAAAAACAAAAGCAAAAAAAAAAAAATTAGGATGAAATTATTTATAAATTTTTTTTTTTTTGCATCCTATTAATTAATTAATTATAAAAAAAGAATGAAAAAATTGTGGAAAAAAGAATTATATCTTTCTTTTTTCCATGTAATTAATTAACTTAAAATTGTAAGCAATAATTAATTAACTAATTTAAAATTATAAACAGCAATTAGTAAATAATTAATTAATTAATTTAAAACTGTAAACAATTAAGAGTAATAATTATTTATTAAATTTAACAAAAAAAAAAAAAGACGAAAGAAAAGAAATGAAAAAAATGAATTTTTTTTTTTTTTTTTAAAATGCTAATATAATAAATTAGCATAAATTATTTTATTATATTAACAATTATTTGAACAAAAAAAGAAACAAAAACAAAAACAAAAAACAAACAAAATTAATTAAAAATAAATTATTTTATTATATTAACAATTATTTGAACAAAAAAGAAACAAAAACAAAATTAGTAAAAAATTTTGTTTTTTATTTTTTAAAATTACTTATCTCATCACATTGAAGCATTTTATTCAAATATTCTGGCCATACTGGGCCATTTGAATTTCTTGCAAAGCCATGCGAATGTGTGCTAAATTCAATTCCATCATCTGTTAAATCATCACCAAATATAATTAGCTGTGAGCATGGCACATTATGTGGCTAAAAAAAAATTATTAGTAAAAATAAAGTAAACAAAAGAACTCACAAATATAAATTTTAAAAGTATTTTAAAAAAGAAACAAACGATAAAAAAAAAATTCGATCAAATTTTATTTGAATTAATTTATAAATATAGTTTTGAATTATTTTTTTTTGTTTGTTTGTTTATTTTGTTTGCTTGTTTTTATTTAAATTTCATTTAAAAGATTTAAAATAATTTTGCAGAACTTCGTTTTCTTTTTTTTTTTGACATTTTACTAAAAATTATTTCGAAGATTAGTGCCACTCATTCCATTAGTGAATGGAATTAATTACTCATTAATTAATGAGCTAATTTAATTTATAATAAATTAATGAGTTAATTTAATTAAAAATAAATATTGTTAATGTTATTATTATTATTAGTATTATTATTATCATTATCACGATCGCTATCATTATCAGAAGAACAAGAAAGACAAAACTTACTTATATCATCAAATCATTTTGTTTTAATTTTTTGCTTTTTTTAAATTTACCTGGTAATAAATATCTTTAAAAAAAGAAAAAAAAATCTTTACTTATCACATCTTATCTTATCATTTAAATACTTCATTATAAAATGTCAGTAATAGTATGATAAAATATCAAATGAAATTTTTGACTTACAAAATTAAATATCCATTTTTTTTTTTACAAATTTTAACTTACATTTAAATTTATCAAATTCATTTATAGCAAAAATATTATATAACAAAAGAAAAAAAAAGCAAATAAAATTTACTGATAAGTTAAAAAATGACTAATAGATAAGGTATTAAATGATAAATTACTTACCTTATAAAAGTAAATTAAATGATTTGCAAAAAAAAGCAATTAAAATTTACTGATAAGTTAAAAAATGACTAATGGATAAGGTATTAAATGATAAATTACTTACCTTATAAAAGTAAATTAAATGATTTGCAAAAAAAAGCAATTAAAATTTACTGATAAGTTAAAAAATGACTAATGGATAAGGTATTAAATGATAAATTACTTACCTTATGAAGTAAGTTAAATGTTTGCAAATGTGGTAGAATAATTATTATTGAATGTAAGCTAATAAGCAACCTTATCATAATGAAATAATTTAAACTAAATTTACAAAAAAAAAAACTATTTGTTTAATTATTTAATTTTTTATACAAAATTAATCTTTGATCGTTCTTTTTTTTTTTTAAAACAAAAAAACAAAAAAAAAGAGAGAGAAATTTTTATTTTATAAACAGCTGCGCAAATTTTGATTAAAACCGTTCGTATCGTTTAAATTAATTTTTATCATTATCGTATAATTGTTAATCTATTTTTACAAACATTTTTTGTACAATTCTTGAAAAAAAAAAGAATTCGTTTGTTTACTTTCTATTTCAGGCAAATTTAATTTGTTTACTTTCTATTTTAGGCAAATTTTTGAAATATTGAAATATGAAATGAATAGACAAATAATTCCCGAGAAAACATAAATTCTCTCTCTCTCTTTTTTTTTTTTTGATTATTATTTATTACAATAAATTTGTTTAGCTTCATAAAAAATTTTATAAAAAAAAATTTTAAATATTTGAAAAATTTTTTTCTCTCAAATTAAATGTATTAATAAATGTCATTTGAAAAAGAAGAAAAAAAAAAAAAAAACACAATAATTCTGAGAAATTGATGAATTTAATTTTTGATGAAATTATTTTTCATTTGAATTTAATTGATGAATTTAATTTTTCATTTAAACAATTTTAAAACTATAATTACTGATAATTATTAAAGTAATAATTAGTAAATTAAAAGTTCCAAATGTAATTTAAAAAAAAAAATAATAGAAATAATATTAAATTAACACTAAGAATAAAAAATTAATACTAAAAAAGCGTATATAATAATTTTTTAAAAAAAAAGAATAAATTTTGTAAAATATCGGATTTATTTAATAAATTTTTCCAATAATTATAATATTAATATTCGAATAAATGTTATTATCATTTCAAAGAAAAGAAAATAAAAAAAAAAATATTTCTAAAAAAAAAAAAGAAATAAAAAAATTTTTCAAAGAAAGATAAAAAATATTCAAATATTCATTTCACTATTACATTCTTACAATAATTTTTCCGGAAAATAGAACGGAATATTGGAATAATAATCAGGAAAGAAGAAAAAAAAAAGGAAAACAATACCTGAATAAACTTATTAAAAACTATAATGAAATGAAAAAAGAAATGCAAAATAACAATTTTAATTAAAATATTATTAATTAAACACTAAATTTTATTATAATATCTTTATAGTTAAATGTTAAACAAAAATTGATTATATTTTTATACAAAAATATTAAATTAATTATAAATTTTGATTCAAAAATGATTATATTTTAATACAAAATTATTAAATTAATTGTAAATTTTGATTAAAAATTGATTATAATTTTATACAAAAATATTAAATTAATTATAAATTTTGATTAAAAATTCATTATATTTTTATAAAAATATTCAATTAATTGTAAATTTTGATTATAAATTTTGATTAAAAAATGATCATATTTTTATACAAAAATATTAAATTAATTGTAAATTTTTTTCCGCTTTTTTTGATTGCTTTTCTTTTTTTTTTTGATTAATATTTAATTAATTAATTAATTTATTTATTTTTTAATAAATTGAAAGCATAATAAAAGCAAACATTTTAATTTCATTTTTCTCAAACAAATTGACATTATCAAAAGAGCAATAATATTAGTGATAAAAATTTAAAAAAAAAAAACAAAAAAATATTGGGTAATATTTTTTGAATAAAAGAAAAAAAAAATTTTTAAATGAATGATATTATGAAAAGATTATCAAATATTATCAATAAATAAAGCTAAAAATTAATGATAATGAAATTTAGTGCTAAAATTAATTTGTTCTCATTTTTGATAAAAAGAACTAAAAAAATTTATTTTTTTTTTTTTTAAAGACTTATCACTTTATCATTCGTTCAATTTTTTTTTTTTCTTTTAAAATATAAATTCTCATTTCAAATATATATATATATATTAAATTAAATTAAAAGTAAAAAAGAGAAGGAGAGAGAGAGAGGGGAAAAGAAAGAGAGATAAGAGAAAGATTTCATTTTTAAAGGAAAAAAATTTCGTTTTTTTCTTTTTTGCTTCTAATAAAATAATAAAAAGTTAAAGTGAAAGTTTTAGATATGAAAGAATTTTAAAATGGAAAGAAAAAAAAAGATTGGAAAGAAAAGAACAAATTGTTGAATTTATCATTTTATAATAAAAGTACAAATAAGAAAAAAAGAAATAAAATGGGAAACAAAGAAAAGAAAAGAAAGAAAAAGGGAGAAGAGAAAAGAAATGTTTCACTTTGTTTATAACTAAAAGAAGAAGAGAAAGAGAGAGAGAGGAGAGAGACGGACAGAGAGAGAGATAGAGAGGGAGAGAGAGTAGCTTTCTTTTACAAAACATTGATGAAAATCATAATTTGTGAAAAAGGAAGGAAGAAGAAGAAGAAGAAGAGGAGAAAAAAAAAGATATTTTCTTATTTCGATTATCAGTCAAATTGTCATTACCACTGACATTTACTCTTACGTAATAACGGAATTGATTAATTTCATTCAATTCTTTATTCAATTTGTATAAAATTACTTTTTAATGTCTGATATGATATGATATGATATTGTTATGATATGATATGGTATGATATTGTTATGATATGATATGATATGATATGGTATGATATTGTTATGATATGATATGGTATGATATTGTTATGATATGATATGGTATGATATTGTTATGATATGATATGGTATGATATTGTTATGATATGATATGGTATGATATTGTTATGATATGATATGGTATGATATTGTTATGATATGATATGGTATGATATTGTTATGATATGATATGGTATGATATTGTTTATGATATGATATGTATGATATTGTTATGATATGATATGTATGATATTGTTATGATATGATATGGTATGATATTGTTATGATATGATATGGTATGATATTGTTATGATATGATATGGTATGATATTGTTATGATATGATATGGTATGATATTGTTATGATATGATATGATATGGTATGATATTGTTATGATATGATATGGTATGATATTGTTATGATATGATATGGTATGATATTGTTATGATATGATATGGTATGATATTGTTATGATATTGTTATGATATTGGTATGATATTGTTATGATATGATATGGTATGATATTGTTATGATATGATATGGTATGATATTGTTATGATGATATGATATGGTATGATATTGTTATGATATGATATGGTATGATATTGTTATGATATGATATGGTATGATATTGTTATGATATGATATGGTATGATATTGTTATGATATGATATGGTATGATATTGTTATGATATGATATGGTTATGATATTGTTATGATATGATATGGTATGATATTGTTATGATATGATATGGTATGATATTGTTATGATATGATATGGTATGATATTGTTATGATATGATATGGTATGATATTGTTATGATATGATATGGTATGATATTGTTATGATATGATATGGTATGATATTGTTATGATATGATATGGTATGATATTGTTATGATATGATATTGGTATGATATTGTTATGATATGATATGGTATGATATTGTTATGATATGATATGGTATGATATTGTTATGATATGATATGGTATGATATTGTTATGATATGATATGGTATGATATTGTTATGATATGATATGGTATGATATTGTTATGATATGATATGATATTGTTATGATATGATATGGTATGATATTGTTATGATATGATATGGTATGATATTGTTATGATATGATATGGTATGATATTGTTATGATATGATATGGTATGATATTGTTATGATATGATATGGTATGATATTGTTATGATATGATATGGTATGATATTGTTATGATATGATATGGTATGATATTGTTATGATATGATATGGTATGATATTGTTATGATATGATATGGTATGATATTGTTATGATATGATGATATGGTATGATATTGTTATGATATGATATGGTATGATATTGTTATGATATATATGTATGATATTGTTATGATATGATATGGTATGATATTGTTATGATATGATATGGTATGATATTGTTATGATATGATATGGTATGATATTGTTATGATATGATATGGTATGATATTGTTATGATATGATATGATATTGTTATGATATGATATGATATGGTATGATATTGTTATGATATGATATAGTATGATATTGTTATGATATGATATGGTATATATATTGATATGGTATGATATTGTTATGATATGATATGATATGATATTGTCATGATATGATATGGTATGATATTGTTATGATATGATATGATATGACAGCAATTTGATCCATAATATCTACAATATCATTGCATTAATTATCATGCAGTAATTATTATTATTGCCATTATCACTATTATTTATTATTATTAGTATCGAATCAAAAATCTTCTTGGAATGTTCATATGCAATACATTATTATTATTTTTTTAGCACTATTATTATTTGTTATTATAATTATCATTATTACCAGTGTTATTGTCACCATTATTATTAATATTATCATTGTTATCATTATCTTTATTATTATTATATTATTATTATTATTATTATTATTATTATTATTATTATCATTACTATTATTATTATCATTATTATTATTAATACTATTGTTATTATTAAACTTTACTATTATTACTATTACCACCTTTAGTTACGACTATCATTACCAGTATTATTATAATTACTAATATTGATATTACTAACATATTACTTTATTGCAGTTCATTATTACATTATTATTGTTACTTCTGCTTGTTCTGAAATAAATTTCACTTTTTTCCTTGTCAAGTGATCTCGAACAATTAAGTTAATATTATGAATAGCAGCAAACAGTCAGCATCGGGTGTAAATGAAGTTTGTTTCTTTTTTTCCTTACATTTTAGTGAAATCATTCGCATTCGCTCTTTCATTAATTCTAAAAAAAAAATATTTAGAAATTTTATCACAAATAATAATAATATAATATTAAATAGTAATAATATTATAATAAATATTAATATAATATTAAATAGTAATAAATAATAATAATATAATATTAAATAGTAATAAAAAATAATAATAATTACATGATAATAAAAATATAATAATAAAATAACAAATAAAAATATAATAAATTTTTAGCGATAAAAAATGTCTGATGAATTTCGAAAAGTTTTATAGAAATATTTGCAAAAAATTTTAATATAATATTATTATTGTTATTGCTATTATTATTATTAATATAGTTTTATTACTATCACTTATTCAAAAAATCATAAAAAAGACAATCATTTATAAACAAAAAAACTTTTTATCATTTTATCTAACAAATATGAAATTCTATGATTATAACATAATGTAAAAAAGTGCTATGTGAATATTTTGGTACTACTTTTAAGATCACCAATTTAAATGATATTATCAGTTTTTTTTTTTTTTTTTTTTTTTCTTTCTCTACGAGAAATCAGTAAATAAATAAAAAGTTTTATGAAACAAAAAGGAAAAAATTGAAATTAATGTCACACAAATTGTAAAAAAAATACGATACAAAACTAATCAGCAATATCTATTATCACAAATATATTTATCACTTGCTAAATATATGAATGTTTTTTATCATTATCATTTCCTTTTGAATGATTTTGTAGTAATTTTAGTGAAACGATATGTTCATTATCAAATATTATCATAATATCATGATTAATTTTTTTCTAAACTAAAATAATTGAAATTACAGATTTGGGAAGATATTTCGGAATTCTTAGACAAAGAACATTTTGGTATTACAAATACACAATGCTTCTTCACTTCCTTATCACCGCTTGATACGGCTAAAATTAATCATCAACACTCTCGTGCTCTTCAAGTTTGATCTTCAACTTTTTCCCTTTTATTTTTTTTTTTTTTAATAATGATAATGACAATGATAATAATAGTAATTGATAACAAGAGTTTAATGATGATAATGGTGATGATTAGCAATAATACTACTGTTACTATAATAATAGTAATAATAATAATAATAATTTTAATAAACATAAATAATAGATCATAAATAAGAAATAAAAATTAGAATTTAATGTGAATATTAAGGGAATAATAGTGATAATAATAATAATAATAATAATAATAATAATAATAATAATAATAATAATAATAATAATAATAATAATAATAATAGATGGTAAATAACAAATAAAAATTAGAATTTAATTTGAATATTAAGGGAATAATAGTGATAATAATAATAATAATAATAATAATAATAATAATAATAAATAAATTAATAAATAAATAATAGATGCTAAATAACAAATATTAGAATTTAATTTGAATATTAAGTAAGCGAGAGAGAGAAAGAGAGTTATAATAAGAATAATTTGATTGATTGACCTGAAATTAAAATGACTGGAACTTGTGATATTATATAATTGTTAAAAAAAAAAAAAACTATCGGTCTCCGTATTATTGAATCTTTTGCATTACAAAATTATTCGTTTCCAATATTTATGATCGATTCAACAAATCAATTTTTTGCTTTCAATAATAATAAAAATAATAATGATATATTATATAAGAAAATTTTTTATCGTATATAATTTTCGAAATATTTATTTCTAATTTTTTATAAAAATATTTGTATTATAAGTTTTTTTTTTCTTTTTTTTTTTTGATAAGTTTAAAAATAAGTGGAAATAAAAATTTGTATAAAAAATATAATGAAATTATAATTTTAGATTTGTAGTACAGATTGGACATTACGTGATCCACCAATTGTTCTCAGTTTGCCACCAATACCAAAAAAACATAAAATTAAACAGAATGAAATAATCAATGAAAATGAAATGTTATGTTATCAAGCAGAAGAAACATTTCAAAGCTTTAATTATCCATCATTTATTTCATCAAAACTTGAAACAATAACACAAATGCCTATTTCATCTTCAATTTACTCCCAATCTATCGATGGATTAATTGATGCAAAAATAAACAATCCTCCTATCAATCAATTATCTACAACAATAACAACAATAACAACAACAACAACAACAACAACAACATCACCATCATCATCATCATCATCATCATCATCATCATCATCATCATCATCATGCAAAATTCATACAATGAGCACATCATCCATATTACAGTTAACAAGGTAAATTAATTATCACCATTTATTAAGTAAAATTTAAAAAAAAAAAAGGAAATAATAAAGATTTAAAATAAACATTATATATTTTTGAGTTAAAAATAAATGAATAAAAAGAAAAAAAAAAATTGAATTTACAGATTACTTAAAAATAATTCATCAATAAATGAAAAAGAAGAAGACATAGATGGACAACAATTGTTGAAAAAAAATTTTTCCATTTATGAATGTAATCATCCGGGATGCTCAAAAAAATATAATAAAAGTTCACATTTAAAAGCTCATATGAGAACACATAGTGGTGAACGACCATATCATTGTAGTTGGCCATCATGCTTATGGAAATTTGCACGAAGTGATGAATTAACAAGGTAATATTTAAATTCATTTTTTTTTTTTTTTAATAATCATTCAATTTTTATAAAAAAAAAAAAATTAACAATTTAAATAATATATTAGTAATGCTATATTTTTTGAATATTTAAAGTAAAAAAAAAAAAAAAGAAAAAATTAATAGATTATTAAATAATGCAATCTGAAGCAATAAAATATAATTATTAAATTTTCTTTTTTAATAGCTTTTAATTTTTAGCATAATTTTATTGCAGTTTTTTTTTTTTTTTTTTTTCAGACATTATCGAAAGCATACCGGTGATCGTCCATTTAGTTGTACCTTATGTTGTCGATCATTTTCACGTAGCGATCATCTTAATTTGCATATGAAACGTCATTACAGCGGTTATAAGTACCATAATTATTTCTTATTTAAGAAAATTATATCTCATTCTGATCGCATTCCATTTAATGTTTCAAAAAAATTTGTATATAATTTCATTAAAAGCATCCATAAATACTACAATAATCTGTTCATGATAACATAATCGAAAGAAGAAATGAATTTCATATTTATAATTTCATACAAAAAGAAAAAAAAAAAAAAAAAGAAATTTCATATTTCAGTATGTTAAAAAGTACGATGTGCTTTATAGCCGAATCAACAAATCGAGGAGAATTCAAACAAAGAAACGTTACTAAAGAAAAACAAATAAAATACATTGGGAATGATAAAGTTATTATGTTGTAAATGATACCAAGAAATTAACTTCACTACTAAAGAAAATATGAATAAATATTTAAATGCTTACTTCACTTTTTCAACTGTAGGAATTAAAAAATATGCTCGAAAAATGTAAGACAGAAAAGATTGGTACTCAGTACAATAACAAAGAATAAATCAAGCATGTTTCAATTTGAAAAAACAAAAAGATTCCAATTGAAATAGATTAAAATTTCATGCTGGAATGAAAATAAACTTGTTTTTGCCAGTTATTACAATAGTAAGCATTATGTTTTCATATCAATATATAATCAGCTTATAGTGGTAATATTTTGTATATATACAAAAATGAACAAATAATATTAAGGAGGTGATATTCTTGGAAAAACAGGTAATATATTATTATATTGCGAATTGGTCGGGATAAATGTAATCGATGTTTGTGATTCCAAATTGTTTACTAATTGAACTGTACGTGGATCACAACGTGGAGTTATTGAATCCGATGCTAACGAACGGTTCGACGCCCTTAATGAGCAAAATTAATTTTTAGTTAACATTATATAGCACTCGTACAAATTAAGTTAACAAAGTAATATTTAAATTTTAGAATGCTATTAAGGATCATGAACAATTTTGCTGTCCCGTTTTGCATTAGTTGTTTCAATGATATTAGCATAATGATAATGTTGAATTATTAAATTATAATACCCAGAATTTTTCATCATCAATTGTCGTGTTCTATTCAATTCTTCCAATAGTTTACGATTATTGTCTTCTGAAATAAAACAAACAAAATCCATTTTATTATGCAAAGGCTTCATTTCAAATCAGAAAAAGATGTTAAAAACTCATTTTCATTGCAATTATTAACAAGAACTGTCCATCTGCTTGTCTAACTGTTAATTTAGAATGTTAGAGTACTGGAAAATATGACAAACTTTAAAAAATATAGTGATGAAGCAAGATTTTCTGACAATATAGTTTCTATTCTTTCTTATTTTATCTATTTAAAAAACATTTGTGAGAGAAAAAAAGGCTGTGATCATTTTACAAACACTTTTTCCACTTCACAGTCACGGTCGTTAGTTAATTAATTAAACAAAAAAAAAAAAAAAAAAAAGTAGTCGAAACGTCACTAAAGGCAAATCGTTTTGATTTTCAAATTTCTATCAATTGTTTAACAACCAAACCATAAGATATGGTGCTGTATTTCATGCATTATATCATTCAGTAAGTAATACTTATAAAATCTATACAGAATTTTAATTTTACTTAGTGATGATAATATAGTTAACAGAAGAGTTATCACCAGGAAGAAAACAAAAACCTATAAACATAGAAGTTCATTTACTATGATTGTCGAATTTATTCTACCAAAAAAAAAAAGAAGTGTTACCTTGTTTTGAAGATGCCATAATTTGAGTAGAAATAAACGTTACACATAGGAATACCTCACAGCAGAATCTGAAATAAATACTTTCAGTTCTCATATATTTTTCTTTTCTCTATCAAATACATTAATTTACGACATCATAAATTATCTTTTTTTAAAATAAAAAAATTACTGAAATTTACACGACTCACATTACTGAAATTTATCAAATTGATCTTTTGCACATAACGATTTCATTCTTGCATCTCTAAATAAACGAACTATATGGCATTTATATGTTATATAACGTACGATTACACGTACAAAGATCACTTATATGTACATTTTATGACGCATCATTATGTTTCAATGAAATAATTAAGAAGTAACAGTAATATACATGTATTGTTTATCTGTTTTACAAATTAATATACATATGCAATGAATAAATAAGATAAAATGAATACGTATTCAAAAATACGCAAACGTGAATACGTATGTAAATGCTGAAAATACACGAGTAAATTTGTAAACTAGAAAAGTACTACCTAATCGTAATTTTATTTTTTAAAGCACATGAATACGTACGAACACGTAGTATACGTAAATAATAGACAGCATATAATGGAAATAAAAATTATTCTCCAACATTTTGCAATAATAAAATAAGAAATAATTAAGCATATGGGCACGTACGAACACGTAAAACACGTAAAATTTGCTCTCCTCACTTATGCTTACAATGCAACAAGAAATCTCAATTGAAATTCTTACAATTTAAATTACCGCCTAATCGTATCATCGAACTCAATTTTAGGTGAAATTAGAGAATGAGTGAGTTGATGTGTTGCAGCGGAATATTTTTGGATGAAAAGTTATGGGTATGTTTAGGCTAGCTGATTATTTCAGGTTTAATATCAGGATGCCCGGAGTGATGGGTAATGTATGGGTAGGTAGGAGTGAGACTGAGAACGGGAAAGGGAGAAGTATGAAAAGAATATTGATGTATTATTTGAAATAAATAGAATAAATAGGATGATAATGATGTGTTAAATTTGTGATAGCCAAGTAATACATTGTAGAGAAGTTTAATTAATTTTCATTATGAAAGAGTGAAATCATGAAAAGAGAGAGGGAGGAAAGAGAAAGAGGGAAAGGGAGGGAGAGAGAGAGAGGAAATGAAATTTTGGGTATATGAATGATAGATAAATGAACAAATGTAGTGTTGTACGTTTGTTTAGCCTATTTTAATTTAGTAAATGTATGAGAAATTGATTAAATATGTTAATGATTTAGGGAAGTTTTACTCTTAAATATTCGATTAATGTTATTTCTTCGACTATTTAACTATTTTACTTATAATTTTATTAATAAAATTATAATTCATCTGTTGCTACGGTTATGATGAAAGGCACAGAATTTTTCAGGAATTATTTGATTTTTTTTCTTCCTCTCTGTAGAATTAGGATTGAAATTTAGCTCATTCATTGTTAAATGTATTATGGTTATCGGGAATAAAATCTTTATAACTGCTACTTTTTGACACATTGATAATGCAGTAGTAAAAGTGGCGTAATGTAAGTATTTGGCTTATAAAGATTTCATTTTTTTTTTTCGAACTTTCCGAATATTACTTATATTTAGGTATTCACATGAGTTTTGATGGAGTTAGGAATTAATTGATTACAGTGAAGTAATCGATCAGCATCAAAAGTTACCATAAGTTTTTTTCTGGCGATTACTTCTTGTATTACCTACATTCACTGAATTGTGTAATACATTTCCGACAATCATCAGGAAATGCGATTGCTTTTCCACCAATTAATATATAGTAATATGATTACTATGTGCTATCTTTGAGGTAAATAATGAGATAAGCACAACTTATAAGTTATCACAGTGTTCAGTCATAATTCTTCGTGATAGCTGTTAATGTTACCTATTTCATAGGAAACAATTTTAAACTGTATGCATATATTAGATATTATATTGTTTCTGAGCGACATACGCGACATTTAAATAATGTTTATTCAATAAGTTATAAAAAATATCTATATTAAAAGTGTTTTTTTTTTAGCTTTAAATTATCGGAAGCATCAAGAATGATGAAAATGAGCCCCTCCACATCACAGTAAATATCATTCGACAGGAAAATCACCGCATTTGCACAGCTTGTGGAATATCGCTCAATCTAAAAGTGAAAAAAGAAAAGACGGTATAAATTGTTTTAAACAATAAAGCAGGAAGTATGGTTGAATACGGTGTGAACGTCACGAATAAATTTGGATTTTTGTCTGATGATGGTAAGTACTAAAAGTTTTTATATAAACAAAAGGTATAGCGATATTTGTAGTATATATAGAAATTTAGTGCATATTGTTATTATTGTAACTTATGTGGTTTACAAAACATTTTTGTCCAATTTTTTAACAAATTACGTCTTTTTGCAGCTTAATTTGAATAATTCTTAGTTTTTCTTTTTCTTATAATAAACATACCTATAATTGATCCGATATGATTTATTCAGAGAAACATTTTGTTCATCAGTAGGTGAAGTGTTGAATGAAATTGTTACTTAACAAGTTTTTAATTAATTACTATTTTGGTTGAAATGATGCGCAATACAATGGGAAGCAAGTTATATTATATTGCAGAGGTGGATGATCCGGAAGTGATATTCAGGAAGGCTGAAGCTTTGAGTAAAAAAGAGGAGAAAACCGCAAGTCAGAAAAAAGCTGATAAGAATGCTGCAGCAAAGAAGAAGAAGGAAATCACTTCAGGAGCGATGATAACAGCTGTGGCAAAAGAAATTGAAGTTAAGAAACAGCCGCAACTATCAGTTGCTGGAATGAAGAAAAATGACTGTAAGCTGAAATCTGAAATGTTTTTTTGAACATGATCTTTGTACCTTAATGATTAGAAATGAAAGATTAGATATTAGGTTTCTGATGATGGTTGGTGGAATACATGGCCAGCGCTTAATCAGAAGTTATGGAAGATATTAATTGATTTATTTTTTCTACGTTTTAGGAATTGATTGCCATTTTGGATTATTATTTGTATGTCCCGTTTCCATATTTATTATTTTAGTCAACAAAGAGAACAAGGAAAATCGTCCAGATGGAGAGCGTGTCCGTGGAAGGGGAAGAGGTCGTGGTAGTATGAGTCGTGGCCGTGGCTTTGTACAACAGTTTGACAATACGCGCCCAACATTTGATCAGGTTTATTGAATAGATCTGAACAAAATTCATTTTGTCTTAGTTATGTTCGAGATAATTTTTATGTTGAGCATCACAGATAAACACTGAACAAAAGATATATAAATGAAGATAATGCCATTATAAATGTATATGATGTGGTTGCTTTATATTTGCAGATTTTATTTTTATATTTGTATACTATATGGTTTAATCATAACAGTGTTCAGAATGATGAACGTGATGTGATGGCTGAGAGGTTCGGTGAAGGAAGGGGACGAGGACGTGGTCGTGGAAATAGAGGAAGACCAACTTTGTAAGTTGTCATAGAAATACTGAAATCACTAGCTAATTTTTTTTTTTTTTTTTTTTTTTGTTGTTTGTTCTTGGCAGTATATGTTTTTTCCTAATTTTAGAATTTGGTTACATTTGTATAGGTATGTTGGATTTCATTTTTTCCAAAAAGAGTTTCACGGGGTAAACACTGGAACTTAACTTTTTGAGTGTTAGGATTTTGTATAAATTGAATTTCAGCCGAGGTGGACGAGGTGGAGTGCGAAATTTTGATGGAGATCAAGACCATAATATGATTGACTTACAACCGGAGTTGAATGGCAACGGAAATATTGATCAGTTTGGTTGCGAACGTCAAAATTTCACGGGTTAGTTTTCGACTCAGCATATGTTTGAGAAATTGTAGAGAATGCATGATAGAGGAGAAGCAAGGTCGTAGCGTCATCAGTTATGTGAATAAATTCATAACAGATTTTGGAATGTATCGTGGCTCATATCGAGGTGGACGAGGCGGATTCCGTGGAAGCGATCGTGATGGTGAACGTGAACGGCCTGTATTTCGTGGTGGACGTGGAGGACGCGGTGGGCGTCAGTTTGAGCGAATGAGTGGATCGGATCGAACTGGCATTAAAGCATTGGATAGAAAAGATGGTTTTGGGAAAGGCAATTGGGGAACTGATCAGGATGAAATGAATGGGCAAAACGAACAAATGAATGATGGTACAGAAGGTATAATTCAACTTAATTTTCATTATAGGTCGTTTAACTGCTAGAAAAGCTTCGCTAAATGGCTGCTATTGTAACTATTATTATTTTATAAACTGACAAATGTATAACATCTTTCCCTGTGAACAAATTTTTCTTTTTTTATATATATTTTGGTGGAAATTATTTTTCATCACAGAAGTGAATAAGAGTACAATTTTTGCAGTTGTCATGAAGGATGAAGATTCTGCACCACGTGAAAAAACTCAGGAAGAACTACGTTTGGAGGCTGAAGCTGAAGCACGTGCTAAACAGCTTACTCTGGATGAGTTCAAGGCACAAATTGCCTCCAAGCGTTCGGAGCCTCATTTCAATATACGTCAAGCTGGTGAGGGTACCAATGATAAGGATTTTGGAAAACTTGTTCCTCTTAACAAACCGATTATGGAAGAAAATTCTGAGGAAGAAATCGTCGTCGTGGTACGTCTCTTCAACTATGTTTTTTTATTTTTTTTCGAATTTAATTTCTCAAGGAGGTAGAATGATTCAACAATGTGTGTTTTGCATTAAGGTTGTTTCAGCGTCGTGAACCTCGAACTAAGCGACTGGATATCGAGATCAATTTTACGGATGAGCAACGTGGTGGACGTGGTGGTCGTATAAGAGATGGTTTTAGAGGTGGACGCGGTTCTCGTGCTGGACGAGAAAGTCGTAATCCAAAGCAAGTGCAAACATTTGAAGTATCTGCTGATGCTTTTCCTGCACTTGGAAGTCAGTAACTCATACAAAGCTCGCATAACACGGAAATAAAACGGAGAAGAAAAATTTGTTAATTTTAAAGGCAATGAATTAACTAATCCTTGGCTATTATTTGCCAGTAACCTAATTGCTTACACACAAAATATTTTAACGAAGTTTAGTATTGTATGTAGATTTTTTTTTTTTATTCTCTCATGTGCTTACCTTCTTTATCCTTCCATTTGTTACAACGTTCAGAGTGAAGGAGAAGAAGCTGAGAGGCATGATATGCATTCAGGATATTTCGATGTAACGAAGATTTTCTCCTTCATTACTTTTTTTTTTTTTTTTTTTTTTTTTTGCTTCTATCTGATTAGAAATTAAATCACAGAATTTTGATTGATTCTAAGTAAAATAATCTTTACATGCTCCAATAGGCTAAAAATGTTTTGTTTCTGTTTTTTTTTTTTTTTTTTTTTAATTTTATTAGTTTTTTAAATTTTAAAATGTTTTTGTTTCCTTATCTGTTTTAACACACAAACTACGAATTATTGTCTTAATTTCTCTTTATGTTGTAAATGGTTGTTTGAAAAGAAGTAAACAAAATTTGTTGGTAGGATGATGTCCATATTTTTCTTTTTTTGTTTTCTGTTTTCCAGTTGGAATATTTTTCTTTTATATTAGCGAAACAGAACAAAAGTACGAATCCTGCTTATTTTTTTTTTTTTTTTTTTTCATTTTGGATTGTATTTCGAGTTTTCAGGACGAGTTTTACTTTTTCTCTGTGCAAAACAGTTGTCTTTTAAAAAAAAAAAAAAAAAAAAAAAGAAAATTCTTGTTGAGAACTGTTCCTTATTTAATAGCACATTATTTAATATCATTTGATTTTCCGATGATTGGAAATGGGTGTATGACGTTTGTTTGGGCACAAATTAAAATTGTGGTTTAGAAAGAGGTGTTGTTGATTTTTTTTTTTTTTTTTTTAAATTTTTGAACAAATTTAAAATATGCATTTGTTGAATAGTATTGGGATGCACTTATGATCTTAATGCTATCATCAAATCTTATAAATGATTTCAGTTTGTGCATTTTGTAACGATAAACAATTGCATAAGCTATTAAATTGTTTATTTTGAGGTGGAACAATTATAAAAAATGAATTTTCAAATGGTTTATTTCATAAATTAACCATTCAATATTTTCGTATGTTTGTTTATGAATAATCTGAGAAAAAAGGAAAAACAAACAAACAAAATGAGTGATAAAAAAAAAAAAAATATTAGCACATGAAAATATGGTAAAACAAAAGAAGAAATAAAAAACAAGAAAAAAAACAAAAAAGGAAGAAAAGATGACAGATTAGCATCAATTATAAGATTGAATGTATTTTAAGCTAATTAATTTTCTTAAAGCAATAATTTATGAGAATGTTTTGATTTAAAATTATAAATTATGTTTCTGAAAGATATTCTTACAATAATTAATTTTTGCTATTTTCTTTTTTTCTTTTTTTTTTTTTTGTAAATTGTTTAACGATTAATTAATTGATGCTTCTCTTCGTCTAATTCACTTTTTGTTTTTTTTTTTTTTTTTTTTCTGAAATCATTGAAAGAGATGATGACAAGTTGAATGTTGCATAAAATCTTTTTATTTTATGAAACTTTTTTTTTTGTTGTTTTCGTAAATTAATTCATTAATTTAATCCTATCTTCCATTTTGAATTAATTCATTAATTAACATGAATTTTTTCTTTTTTTTTTTTCAATAGCATACAAATGAACAATTATAAAATAAGCAAAAAAAAAAAAAAAAAAGGATTATTTTACATAATTTGATTAATATTATTAATATTTATTATTCTTCCTTTTCTTTTTCCTTATTTTTACTTTTTGTATATATACTTATTTTACTTTTGTATATATAAGAATGAAAATTTAGCAGAAATAATATTTACAAATCAAATAATAATATTTTTATAATTTCACCTAATAAAAACAAAAAAAAGAAAAACGAAAATAAAAAAAATCTTTAATCATTTTTTAAAAACTTTTTTTTTTTTTCAGGAATATTTAATTTTCAGTAATATCAGTAGTGGTATTAGCAGCATTAGCAATAGCAGTAGTAGTATTAATATTATTAGTATTACTAGTAAGAGTTGATGATAAATTAGTATATAAAATATGTGAGATAAAATCAGATAATGATATTGCACCAGTTAATTTACCACTTTTTGGATTTATAACAAAAACACAACGACAATCTTTACGACTAAGAGCAAAATCAAGAATATGATTAACTGTATCAGTTTCTGATAAAAATATCATTGGTTGACGATTTTTAATTGCTTCAATTGTTGTTAATTTTTTGGATTGCTCCTAAAATAAAAAAAAAAAAAAAAAAAAGGAATCGATAAATAAATAAATTTATGACAATAAATTATTTTTGAATAATTAAGAAAGAAAATACTTATATTATTGACACTTTTTTGTTTCTTCTCTAATTACTCTAATTATTCGTATAAATATTCTAATATCTTTTTTCTTGATCTTTTTGATTAATATAATATTTTTGATCTTTTTGATTAGTATATCATTTTTTTTTCCCTTTTTTTTTTCCTTTAAACTTTTTTAATTTAAATTATAAGATAATAAATGGTAAAATTTAATTGTTAAATATTAAATATTAATTATTAAATATTAATAAATATTATTTTTATTTCAAATATTAATTATTTCAAAATTACTTTAAAACTTTTAGCATCAGCAAGAGCATAAGCGATATCTGTTTTGCATATTACATCCACTGGACGATTTTCATCATCAATAATCGGTAAACTAGAGATACGATAATCGAGCATTTTTCGAGCAACCATTTCCAGATTATCATTTTCAGAAACCTAAAATAATTTTACTACTGATTAATAGTGATAATAATTACTATTACTATTGATAATGATAGGTATAATGGTAATAATGATAAAATTATAAATAATAATATGATTATTACAATACTATTAACATTAATAATAATGGTTTTTAAATATTGTAATTAAATTTATAATATTATATTAGTAAAAATAACAACAATAGCAGCATTATCGGTAAACTAGATATAAACTAGAGATATGATAATAATAAAACAGCAATAATAATAAAATAACGATGATAAAGATAATAATAATGATAAAGATAATAATAATAGTAATGATGGTGATAACGGTGATAATAATAATGATAATACAACAATGATGATAATAATAATGGTAATAATAATAAATAAGTAACAGTAGTAATAATAATCAATAATGATGATGATAATGATAATAATAATAAAAGTGCTGATAATAATAATTAATGCGATTAATTGTTGACTGAAAAAAAAAAAAATTGCAAAGTTAATTTTAAGGGTGCATTTTTTAATATTTTTTACGAATTAAATAAATCTCGTAATTTTTTTTTTGCACGATTTTTTCTTTTAAATTATTTACTTAAATTATAATTGGAATATTTTTGTAGTTCATTAGAAACTGTTACTGTATTGTAAAATTTCTAATTTTGCTTTATTTGAATTCATAATTAGAATAAATTTTGAGCAATGATTTTAATTTGATTTTTTTTTTTTTTTTTTTTAAAAATATGCAATTATTTGTTTTGTATGAATTTGATCACTTAAAATATGATCAAAATTATCATTCCGAAAATCCCGCGCTATCGCGGTATTCAATTATTATTCCTTCTCTTCTTTCTTATTATTACTTTCAACAATTCATCTTTTTCTCCCTCCGTTAAAACAATTTCTCTTTTCATTATTTTATCATTTACAAAAATAAAAATTAAAAACTTAAAAAAAAAAATAAAGTAGAAAAAAAAAATGAATTTTGCATCGTTTTTTTTTTAATGTTCTTTCTTCCTAATTTAATAATATTACATATTTATAATAACAAATAAATTAATATCTAATAATCACTCTAATTATTACATTAGCAAATTAAATTAAACAATTAAAATTATAATCAATCATTTGAAATTGTTAAAAATAAAAAAAAGAAAAGAAAATGCATTCATATTAACTTTACCGTATGCAAATTTTTCCATGTTCCAATGTTTGATTTTTTAATATCCCAATCAAGCCAAGATGCAAAATGTAATGAACGATTCTGTAAATTATTAAATTTTTTTTTTTTTTTTTTTTTTATTATTTCATTATAATTTAGTTTCAAAAAAAGAAAAAAAGGGCAAAAGTAATAGCTAAATTTCAATTTAATCTAATTATTATTTATTAAATTATATCTAATATTAAAATGAACGATAATTATTGTTAAGCTTTGTTAAAAATAAAATTAATAATTGCTTAAATTAGCTAACAAAAAAAAAAAAAAAAGCTAATAACAAACATTTTATGCAAATTTCAATTCATTGAACAAAATTTTTCAAAAAAAAAAATTATTAAATTAAATTAATTAATTTCAATTAATTTAACCTGTTTATGAACTGCCTGTAAAATTCGTTTAATAGTAAGTAAATAGAGTACATCACCAGTTTGATCTGGATAGATTACTATTCGATGAATACGATTAGAGCAAAATTCATGACATGCTTCTAACAATCTCAAATGAAATTTTAAATTAAACACACAAAAAAAGAAAAATAATTTTTATCAAATTTATATATATTTAAAACGAAAAAAAAAATTCTTTTTTCTTTTTAATTTATGAAAACATATATATATATATTATGCAAAAAAGTTATCAAATTAAAAAAAAAAAAAAAAAAATTATATAAAAAAGAAGAAATAAAATTAATTGTAAAGATTTTATGCTAATTAATCAAACGGTCGAAATTAATGAAATGAATTTTATATAATTGAAATTTTACAAAAAATTAAAAGATAAACAAATAAATAAGTGAATAAATAAATAAATAAACAAACTTGCATGAACCATCAAGCCAAACTAATTGATTAGCTGAAATAGCTTCTTCAACGGTTGTTGATTCTTCGCTTGTTTGCGATAAAAGTGAAATAAGAAAATCAGTAAGCGTAAGTAACGCAATAACACTTTCACGTTTACTACACCAAACAACAACTGAACCAACGCCCCATTCGATTAACACTTTGAAAGCTTTTTGTAACTTAAAAAAAAACAAAATTGGAAAATTAGAAGAATAAATTTGATAAACAAAAAAAAAAAAAAAGATTAAATAATGAAAAAAAAGTATGAATTAAATTAAATACTAACACAATTATACATATATGTGTATGAATAAATTAAAATTTTTTTTTGTTGCAATTTTAATTTGTAAATTTTTATTTATAAATTTAAATTTAAAATTTGTTTTTTGTTTTCCGGTTTCTTTTTTTTTTTTCATTTTGTTTTGATTAGAGCAAAATTTTGATTTAAATGTGTTAAATATGATAAATGAAGAATGTCAAATTTTTTTTTTTTGACAACTTTTATTTTTCAGTTTTTTCTTTTCTTTTCTTTTTTTTTTTTTTTGTTTGTTTATTTTTTTCCTTTTCTGCTTAAATTGTTTTTTACTTTTATTCTATTAAAAATGTAAACAATAATTTTTGATTTAATGAAAATAATTTAAAATTTCCTTCAATTTTTTTTTTAAAAAAAAAAGAGAAAGAAATAAAAACTTTCTGTGTTTTTTGATTAAAAATGTTTAAAAAATAAAATAAAATTCGAAAAATTAATGATTAGACTGATTTGCGAGAGAGAGAGAGAGAGAGAGGGAGAGAGAGAGAATGAAAGAAAGAAATTGATTTTCTTAAATAACAAAAGAAAACAAATGAAAAATTATAAATTATATTTATCATTTTAATATTTTTTTATTTTAGATTTTAAAATTAAAAAAAAATTTAAATTTTATGAAATTAAAATTTTTTTTTCTAATTAATAAAATTGAAAATAATTTTAATTACCTTTACTTTACTATCCACAAGAATAACTCTACCAGCATGTGGTGCTAATTCATAACAATCTACCACTTTCATATATTGCTTATATGGGTCTAAATTATTATCTGAAATTTAAAAAAAAAAAAAAATTAATTTTCTCCTTCGTTTTTCTATTTAATAAAAAAAAAAATTTTAATAAAAGAAAAAAATTTCAATTTTAATGACAAAAATTAGAAAAAAAAATGGAAAAAAAGTTCATTTAATATATTAAATTATAGTAGCAAAACAAATATGGCCAAATTTAAAATATATCAAAAAGAATATCAAATTTAAATCATATCAAATCAAACAAAAAAAAAAAATCTATCAAATATATCAGTTATAAAATATCTAATTTAAAATATATTAAAGTATATTAAATATAAGAAAAAAAAAGGTTCAAAATTTAATTAATTAATTAATTATTTCATTTTCGAGTACAAAACCTATAATAATTAATTCATTTTTGAGTACAAAACCAATAATAGTTGATTCATTTTTGAGTACAAAACATATAATAATTAATTCATTTAATTAATTTTATTAATAGAATAAATAAAATTAATTTTAGTAAAGTTAAAAATTAAAATTTGAAATAAAGAATGAAAAAAAAAGCAGCAAATAGATTAAATAAATAATAGTAATAAAAATAATAATAAAGTATACCTAAAAGGCCAATGACATCTACTGATACCGGACGTGAAGTTTTCCGTAAAATTAAAAAATCCTGAAATATTGATTATAATTAAAAGAAGTTAATCATAGTAATAAATAATAATAAAAGAGAAATTTTAATAAGAAATATAAAAAATTTTTTTTCCATCATAAATCTGAAAAATTAAAAAAAAAAAAACTTGGTTAACATATCAATGATAAAACATTTGATAAATGCAACTGATTTAATTGTAAATGGATTTTATTTTAATTATTTATTTTTATTTTTTTCAATAAAAAAAAGTTGAAATAAAATTTTATATAATTTAATATCAAATTTTCAAATAATTTTCATCATTAAAGGAAAAAATACAGCCAATACTTTTTGTTTTTTTTTTTTTTTTTTATAAATATTTTGCATTTCATCTTAATTTATAAAATAACATTAAATTATTTTATTTAAACAATGTTTTAATTTAAATCAAAGCTAATATGCGAATTTAAATGGAAAATAAGTCAAAATTAGCATAATAATGTAAATTCAAGTTAATAGCATAAAGATTTAATTAAATCAGATTTCATCTATAAATTAAAATTCGAATGAAAGTTAAAATTGATAGACAAACTTAAATTTACATTAAATGAAAATGCAAATTTGAATATTTAAATGAAAATCAAAAAAGATGTGCAAAAACAAAAATTTAAATTGGAATCAAATTAGATCAAAGTCGGCATAAAAAGAGTGAAAATTTAAATCAAATTAAAATTTGCTGAAATTTTTGTATTTTAAATTGATATCCTACAGATGATTTAATTAAAATTAGAATATAAATTTAAATTCGTATTGAATTAAAATCAAAATTAGCAATTCAATTTTGGATTTAAATCAAATTAAATCAAAAATTAGCATTAAAATTAAAATTTAAATTAAATTTAAACTAATTTATTAAATGATAACAAACAGTGCTATTTGATCGTGGCCGGCGAAATGCTCTTGCATCATCGTAAAGATCGTATGATTCGTTATCATCACGTAAATCATAGACTGATTCCACTGGACAACATTCAATCTAAGTGAAAAAAATCAGTAATGATTAAATTTTATCAGTGATAAGGTTAATATTCTTCTTATCATTCTTATCACTCTCAAATAAATGAGCCATCATTGAGATTTAGATGTGATTTATTAAAAATTAAAATGTTGAAAAAACAACACCTACATTTCTTATAGCCACATTGTTATCATTCAACCTATTATCATTGATTATTATCAACACAAATTATTATCATTGATAAATAGAATATGATTATTATTTTTTTTTTTTTTTGAAGTTTCAAAAAATGAATGAATTATTTGAAGTGTAAATAAATATTAAATTAAGCCAATTTAATAATTTAATTTAATTTAGTATCATTTGATGAAATAAAAATGTAATGCAAAAAAAAAAAAAGTGTAATTTTATCTAATTAATTTCAAAATTCAATCAAAATAAAAATGTATTTATTGTAGTATTTTCTTTTTTCATTTATTTTATTTTTTTTTTATTTTTCTTAATTTTATTTTTATATATTTTTTAAAAAAAAGCAATGAAAATTTAATTCGTTCGCTTTTTTTTTTTAAAAAAAATAGAAAAAGGAAGAAAAAAAAGCTTTTTACAAAGTGTAATTTATAATTTCGCATTTTCCATTATTTTTTATTAAATAATTAATAAATATTAAAAAATTGATAAATTATAAATTTCTTAATTTTTTCTTTATTTTATCATTTGCTATTAACAATAAATTAGAATGAAATTAAAATAAATTTTTCTTTTGCATATAAAAAGAAAAAGGAAAAAAAATTTTTTTGAAAGGAAATGAATGAAAGAGTAAAAAAAAAAAATTAAATTAATTATAAGTTTTAAAATTTATGCTAATTATACCTGAACACGTCGTAATGGTTTATTTATAGGTGGCCATGGTACTTTTTGCTTTTCATTACTACCCATTGATTCACTTCGTTGACGTCCAACTAAAACTCGTAAACCTGAAATGCAAAAAATAAATAAATAGAAATAAATAAGCAAATAAATAAGAAATAAATAAATAAAAGTAAATAAGCAAATAAATAAGTAAATAAATAAATACAAATAAATAAATAAAATATGATAAATAAATAAGGACTTTTCAAATTGTATTAAAAATAATTTAATAAGAAAATTCTTTCTCAATTGATTCAAAATTCAGTTAAAATTTAAGAATTAGTAAAAAAGTTTAAGGAAAATGGTAAAACTAAACTTAAATGCTATCTAACTTCAACTTATCTCTTTCAATGTTTCAACTCTTTTTTTTTTGTTTAAATATTAGTAGGTGATAATTTGAACTATAAAAAATACTTATTATCACCAACTGATAATTCAAGCTATGATATGATGATAATGATCTAATGATTGATACTACATGATCTGAATTATCACCCACTGATATTGATGCTATGTGACCCGAATTATCACCCACTGATATTGATGCTATATGACCCGAATTATCAGCTACTGATAGCTCAAGTTATGATCTAATGATTGATGTTATATGACTCGAATTATCATATACTAATAGTTCAAGCTATGATCTAATGATATTAAGAAAAAAAAAAAAAAAAAAAAAAAAAACCAATGAATGGAAATAAAATTTAATGATTAATCAAATTTAAATGTATTTTGTTGATTATTCAAATTTAAATGTTTTTTGTTTTACATGTTAAACACATAATCGATATATTTATAAAAATTAATTAAAATATTGCAAAATTGTTTCAAATCTAATTTAATTAAGCAAAATAATTAATTTGATAAAACAGTAAAACAAAAAAGAAAAAGTTAAAAAAAAAATTGAAAAATTCGCCAAAAATAAATCTAATCCATAAATTCTAGCTAAACATTAAAGCTCAATAATTTAGTATTTTTTTTTAAAAAAAAAAAAGAAAGAAAGAAAGAGAAAAATAATTACTTTTTGCAATCAATTTGTTCATAGCTATTTCAATTTATTTAATGTTATTTAAATTGAAAAACATTCTTAATCAAATTAATTATTTAATTTCACGGTCTTTTTCTTCGGTTAGTATGAAAAACAAAAAAAATAAAAATAAATAAATAAATCATTTAATCACTTTTGCACCTGTTAACATTTTATTTGTTTTAATTCTTTCTTCTTTTTTTTTTTGATGAGAAGAGAAGAAATTGAAAAAATTTTTTCACTTCATTATAAATCTTTTACTTATTTCAACTAAAAATATAAATCAAATTAAAAAAAAGAGAAAGAGAGAGAGAGAGAAATGTGATCATAAAAAGTAAAGTTAATAAGTAAACGAATTAACAAAGTAAATAAAAGTAAACAAACATTGGAAATAAAAAAAAAAAAAAAAGAAAATAAAAGTATTAAGCAAATAAATTTGAAAAAAAAAAAAGTTAAATTGAATTAAAGCAAAAAAAAAAAATTTTTCCAATTCATTAAATTTATAATACATAATTAAATTTTAATAATTATTATAAACAATATGAATAAGAAATGAAAATAATTTTAATTTTAACAAATTATATTAAATTTTTTTTTCGTTTAATTTTAGTATAAAATTAATTTTTCCCTTTTTATTTCTTATAGAAATTTTTGAACAAAAAAAAAAAAAAAAATGATTTATAAAAATTTTTTCGTTTTTCATTCTTTTTTCCTAAAATAATTTGAAAAAAAAAAATTTATAGTGAAATTTCAAAAAAAAAAAAAGAATAAAAGAACAAATATCATTGTTTAAAATCTTTCTCAATGATTAATGCTCAAATCGAAGATGACATTTAACAGTTGACAAGAAAAAAAAAATAAATTTATTTTAGTTAAATGTTAAAATATAGAATAAAAAAAAAAAAAAAAAAGAAAATCATTTAGAATAATAATAACAAATAAACAAATAAACAATGATTCATAGCGTAATTAAACAAAAAATTATATTTTAAGTTGAAAAATAAATCAAAAGAAGCAAAAAGAAGTAAAGAATAATTAATCTGATAGGTAGATGATGATGATGTCAATTGATAGAATGATAATGATAATGATGTCAATTGATAGAATGATAATGATAATGATGTCAACTAACAGAATGATAGTGATAATGATGTTAATAGGTTAACAAATGTTATGGATCCATTAACAGATCATTGATCACATTCTTATCAGTGATTAATAGCAAGAAACAGTAAATTGAAATGTAAATGATTTTGAAGTAAACAAAATTGTAGCTGTGATAATTTCAGGAATTAATGCCAAAAAAAAAAATTTTGAAAAGAAAAAAAAACTACAAGAAATTAAAAAATTAAAAAACATTTATATAAAAATTTAAAAAAGAAAAGAAAAATAAAATTTTAGTGATATGAAATTATTTCAAAAATTTTAAAAATGAGTATAAAAAATTGCAACTGCTAAAAAATATTAAACTATTGTAACAATTTTATTTGTAAATTTTTTTTTTTTTAATAACTTGTAAATTTTAAAATTATAAAAATTTCAAATCTTATCAAAAAAAGAAGTAATAAAAAATTATTTGTTAATATAATAGTAATAAAAATAAAACTAAAACAAATAAATAAATAAATAAAAAGAGGAAATTTGAAAATATAACTCTGTAAATGAATGAAGTAATTCCAAAATAAAAACAATTTTTTTTTTAAGAAATTAAAAATAAAAAAAAAACCAACAAATTCAAAAAAAAGGAAACACTAAATAGTAATTAAATGTATTTAAAAAAAAAGTTTACTAAAAAAAGGAAAAAATAATTGATTTAAAAAAAAAAAATTAAAACAAACAAATTTGAAATCTCATTAATTACCATCTTTCTCTTTGGATAAAAAAGATATTTAAAATAAGTGAAAAAAAGAGAAAAAACTTTTCTGAAATATAAACAAAAGCGTTTTTTTTATTTCTTTCAAAGGAGAGAGAGAGAGAGAGAAAGAGAAAAAAAGAAAATATTGAAAAATTAATCGAAATACTTTGTAGTAATGTAATTTAGCAATTGTTACATTTTACTTTGAAAATTTCTCATTTTGTTCTCATTTTTTTCTTCATTAATTAATTAATTCGTTAACTAATTAATCAGTTAATTCATTTATTTATTTCCATCCGTTTTACAAACCGATTAATTAGTTAATTAAATCGCTCATTAATTAATTAATTCATCCATTTAATATCATTTTTCTTCCACTTTAAATTTTAATTTATAATTATATAGCGAATGAAATATTTTTTTTAAATAATTGAAATAATACATTTTGCATCTAACATAATTAATCCATTATTTAAGCATAAAAAAGAATTTTAATTTACCAAATATTATATTAATTTTAATAATTAAATTAATTAAACACAATAATTGATGATAATATTAAACTTTTTTTTTTTTTCTTTGCAATATTTAATAAAACTAATTTACACATTTACAAAATGATAATAACTAAATTATCAAACTATGTGGCTATCTAGGCCAAGTACAAAGTAGCCTAGTAAACTATTCAGTAGAGTATTAAGCTAAAAAAAAAAAAACTAGCCTAGTAAAATTATAAATTAGCTCAATAAGCACATTTGAATTAGCATAGCAAACTATAATCTATAAACTGTGACAATCGCATTGTCACTTTTTTGTATTATATTTAATTCATCTGTCTCACTCTAATTCATATTGTAAACAAATGATAGAAGCGAAAAATTATTTATTTGTGAATGAAATAAATTATAGCATTAAAAAAAAAAATCTTTTTATAGCAATTTAATAAATGTAATAAAAATTTTAAATTTGTAATGAAATAAATTTTTTTGCAATAAAAATTTAAAAGAGCAAATCAAAGATTAATGAAACGATCGTATACAAATGAAAATTTCATTCTTATATTTTCATTTTATATGGAAAAATAAAAGAAATAAAAGAAATTTGCATATTCAAACGTGGAAAAAAGTTTTTTTTTTTTTTTATATAATTAAATTTATGCAATAAAATTTTAAAAATAAAAGCATTTTTTAAATAAAAGAAGTTCAATTCGAATGCGAATGATGATCACGAGCACAATAAAGATAAATAGCAATAAATGATAATATTATAATAATAATGATAAATGATGGTCTTGATAATAGTAATGATAATGGTGATAATAATAATGATAATAACAAAAATAATGATGGCAATAATATTGATATAAATAATAACAATGATGATAATAATAACAATAAGTAACGATAAATATTAATATCGATAATAATAATAATAACGTTTATAATAATAGCAATAATAATGATAATAATAATAACAATAAGTGGCAATAAATTTTGATGTTGATAATAATAATGATAATTATAATAAGTAACAATAAATAATAACATTGATAATAATAATGATAATAGTGATAATAATATGTAACAATAAATAATAATATTGATAATAATAATAATAACAATAAGTGACAATAAGTAATAATACTGGTAATAATAATAATAATAATAATAATAAGTAACAATAAATAATAACATTGATAACAATAATGATAATGGTAATAATAATAATTTGAAAAATATTTCTAATTTGTTTGTACATTGATGAAATGAACAAAACGAATTTGTTTTTGGGTTTAGTGTTCAATAATATTGATTACAAAAAGAAAAAAAAAAAACAAACTTCTAAGATTAATTAATTATCTCAGAAGAAAAATGTTAAGTGGATTGTATCACTAACTAATATTATATCAAAGTGATAAAAATGATAATAATGATAAAAAGATTTTAAGATGACGAAAATGAAACAGAAACGATTTAATTTTAAAAATAAAAAAAGATGAAAAAACGCATTTAAGCAATAAATAATTAAATATATTTTAAAAATTTGACATGCATTTCATTTAATTTATATTAAAATTTTTCGCTTTTTTTTTTTCTCTCATTTTTCTTTTCTTAAATTTCTTTTTTTGAAACAAAAAAAAATTTTTTACACTAATGGATTTTGTTGCATTTATAGATAGA